AGGACAGAGTGAGAATCGCTGTAAATGTTGATAGACAATGTTTTGTTTGGTAGCGAAGTGGCCCACTGAACAGCTTGGTAGTCAGCATCTTCTTCAGCTTGATAGATGGAGGTATGTGTGTGTGTGAGGAGGTATGTGTAAGTGTGTGTAAGGTAAGTATGTGTGAGGAGGAATATCTGTACCTTTTAACATATTTTTGGCAAAATATGTCAGTTTGGAAGAAGTTAGATACTTAAGCTGACAAGAAGGGAGCATTTCGACCCATCTGTGTAGATACTAATGTCTGCATGATTATCCTTGGAGGAAGCAGTTGACACCAAATAACCTTGTTTACAGGATGGTGATCAGAGATAGTAGGGTAATTGCAATGTGATAGCATATAAACATCCGTAGATAGGAGTAGAGACCGTTGTTGAGCCTTGACGTTTGTAGTTCTGATGTATTAGTTTAGAACCTTTTCTACAATACATAGTGGCAAAGGAAGGAGCTCTGCTAGTATCAGAGAGGCATTAGTAAAAACAGTTCTGCAGCACTTTGAAATTCTGATGGCAAACTGGCTTTGAAGAGAGATACTTGCTACTGAACTTTTACTAGTTACATGACCACTGCCAGAGGCAGCGTAAAGTAGCATTGGTTGTATTGCCCCATTATATAGAGTTTTATAAGCTTTATTATTTAGTCCCCAGGTGCACCTAGCACATTTTAGCAGCGTGTAGTTTATTTTCTTGGCCTTATCCAAGATGTAATCAATATGGCAACGAAATGTGGTTTCTCTCTATTCTCTCTTGTTTTATTTTGTATGACGTTTCTGTTTACACGTGCACTAGTTAGTCGATCTGTCAAAGTTTTTTGTGTCTTTTGTGAAAATTAAAATTAATATAAAAATGACGTTGATTAATGATAATAATAATAATATTGTTAATAATTAAAAAATAAAGTTCTTAAAATAAATTGTTCATTCGAATTCATTAAATTTTTATATTTTTAAATTTGTTCACGTAAAGTCTTTTATAAATAATAGTACATATTAATTGACTAATTAATAATTATATATTTTGGACCTAAGGTTTTTAGGGTTTCATTAAAAAATTTTTTTTGGTTTAAATCGTTCTATGAAATCGTGCCAAAATATTACGTAAGATAGGGAAGGGGAAGGGGAGGGGGATCAAAAAAAAAAATATTACGCTTTCTTACACAGAGGTGGATGGGGGTCTAGAATGGCCGAAATCTCCCTTACGTAATTTATGGACGGCCCCTTAAACACACAACTGAAGTTTGTAATGGGTTTAAGGTTTTCTAGAAAACCTTTTAAAAAATAAAACGCCGTAAAATTACCATAAACTGTCAAACTTAAGATCACATCTACTAAACTAATTATGCCCGTGTTGTTGTTACAATCGAATGTTTGAGTACCCAATCGATCTAGGTAATTTGCAAAACAGACACGCAGTTCGTTAAAACAATTAACGAAAGGTGCCTGTGTACTATTTGGAATATTTTGAATATAGATATAGTATTAAATTTAAGTATTTCTATTGTATAATTAATTTATCTGTCTATGTTTTTGGTAATAATTAATAGAAAAATTATTTCTTATTAACAGGATTGGCTTTCTTATTTCTCAATTGCGAAGGAATCAAACAGTCAGAAAGAAAGGCAACAAATACAATAAATTTATTATGTTTAACATCTCTTGAAAACACTAAAATAAGTATTAATCTCCAATTACAGTAAAGCGTCGTTTATCCGAAAGCCGGTTAACCGAAAACATTCCAGTCGGCAAATTTAAATTTTCGCTAGTGCTGTGGCGCTGCAATCTTTGGCTATATCTTGGGCTACTCCAATATTTTTTTGTTCGTGTGTGTTTTAGCTGGCAGCACTGGCACTTTTGTGTGGTGTGTTTCTGAGGACTGTGTCGTGCCGAATCGAACGTTTTTGATACTAGATTAACTTCTAAAGAATAATTTTTTTTTGTTTTTATATTTTTCAATATATTTATTTTGTTTGCAAAAAATAAAGAAATAATTTTAAACGATACAATAGCCACGATTATTATTTTAAAAAGTTTACATTAGGCTNCTTCGTCTTCTCTTCTGTAACCGTATGCCCGGGCCTATACCGATTTGTCAACGTGTCAGCATTTATTTTTGATAAAATTGTTTTAATTAATATTTTCTGTAAGCGATTTAAATTTATAAAATCGGCATATGGAAAAGAAAGTAATGGTAACGAAAATGTTCTTCAACTCAAAGTAGCAGTGCCCAGGAAAAGTGTAATGCCCTGTAAATCATACTTTTTCTGGTAACAACGGAGTTATGCCGGTCATATATTTAACTCCATTCAGGGAAAATGTTTGTATTAAATTGTCCCAATAAAGAATTAATTCAAACCCGGTCTATCGAGAGTATCACAACCTAAATGTTCGATTAGATCTGGTAACAATTGGTCTAGGGCTTGAATGTAAAATAGGTAACCGAATGCGTGCACTTACAGGGTCATTGAATATACAAATTTTACTTGGATACTTCTAATTGACGTACTTCACGATTTTATAAGAAAAGAGCTAGAGAAAATTCACAGCTGTGAAACGTAGAAGCAAGGGTATTACAAGAGTGGTGCCTGTGTAACTTGCAAGAACAATTCTGCGTGCCTGTGATTCTAATTATTCTATAAGCAGAATTTTTATCATTCCAAATAAAATTTGATTTATATTCTAAATCAATTGTTATCTTGTTTCTTGTCTGTATTAATGGTAGCCCAAGGTTGAAGTTGTGCAGTAGCTCCTAATAAAAATATTACACCACCCAGAAAATAAGCGAAAGATGCCATATAGAATACGTAGTTCCATTGAATCGTGTCTCCTTCCTTATATGTAAAAATTTTTAAACAATTTAATTATAAGTTATAGATATATATATATAAACAGATTTTTAAGAAGTTATCACTTACATTTTTTTCTAATATAATACCAGCAATATAAGGTGCGAGTATAGCCGAGATACTACATAAACCATTAGTCAACCCGAAAAGGACACCTAAAACAATTTAAATAACGTAAATTAGAAAAATGTCATTTGTTACTCGAAAAGCTTGCTGTAATTTCCTGCAAAACTTCGATTCTAAGTCAGTAACAGTAATTATTCTGGTATTCTGTATTAAAATTTCGGTATTCTGTGTTTATAATTAGGAAAAAAAAAATGAAAACATAGTTATTTTCAATGCAGTGCGATATGGTTAACTAGAATTTGGCTTTGAAAAAATTCGGACATTTGTATATGTTGAATATCCAGTACCAATGTATAGTAGAAAGAATAAGTATCATCCAGATACTAAGGAACCGATGGCTATATTAAATATTAATAACGTGTCTTGTTGATAAGTAACGTGAAGAGAAATACATAAAAGTACAGTTAAACCTTCTAAGTTTCGACACCTTAGTCAAGCGTAATTAATACTTGTAAACTTTTCCCCATACATTTTAAATAGAGAATAGATGTATATGTTCTTAAAACAAGGTTTGATTGTATTTCAAGGAATTTCATCGGCCCATCAGTTGTTTGTAAATGAAAATCTTGTGCCGATAAGCTAAACTAGATTTATTTCCCGAGATAAAGATTTGATAAGTAACGAAATAAACTGATGTTACGTTATTTATGTATTTTTCTACGTTACTTTTATTATGTTATATTACGTGATAGAAATACTGTATTCCGTATTTCTAATACATCAAGTTATTGATGTATTAGAAATGTATTATGTATTAGAATGATGTATTAGAAACACCACACTAAAAAGTATATAACTGTAGATAATTAGAAAATAATAGGAATTAAGCACATGTAACTTTTATTTCTAAATTTATTATTTGCTATTGTTACATAATTAATAGGAATTTTGAATGAAGTAAGTAAGCAAGAAAGGACTGTTTATTTCTAGCATGTTTAAAATGTATTTATATAATAAATCATGCATAATAAAAAAAAAATTAGAAATTCGTCTTGACTGAATTAATTATTGTACATGATATTTTTTCATGAAGAAAATACAAACTTTCTCTTTTCGAAGCGAAACTATTCGTTGCCTGGGCGAAGCCTGAGCTTACCGGGCTAACATTTGCACATTTTTCCGATTTAAAAAATTCATACGTTATATTTTGATTATTTCGGTGTCAAAATGCTTAGTAGAACCCTGGCGTGTATATAAATTACGTTTTAGAAAACATAATTAACTCCGAGAAAAGATATATTCAAAAAATAAAACTGCCCACTTTTGTCTCTTTGACGCTTAATAACAGAAAAGTATTTTGATATTTTGGATGCTGTTTCTTGGAGTATAAAGCCAGACAGTTGCTTGATATTCTTCCAGAATCTGGTGAATTCCGGTCGAACTACGGAAAAGTTACCCGAGTTCTAAGAAAAAGGAATCGAATTTAGATCTCTCATCCACACTAGATGGCGCCACGTTACCTAGCTCTTCGTCTTCTCTTCTGTAACCGTATGCCCGGGCCTATACCGATTTGTCAACGTGTCAGCATTTATTTTTGATAAAATTGTTTTAATTAATATTTTTTGTAAGCGATTTAAATTTATAAAATCGGCATATGGAAAACAAAGTAATGGTAACGAAAATGTTCTTCATCTCAAAGTAGCAGTGCCTAGGAAAAGTGTAATGCCCTGTAAATCATACTTTTTCTGGTAACAACGGAGTTATGCCGGTCATATATTTAACGCCATTCAGGGAAAAATGTTTGAATTAAATTCTCCCTATTGAGAATTTAATTCAAACCCGGTCTATCGAGAGTATCACAACCTAAATGTTCGATTAGATCTGGTAACAATTGGTCTAGGGCTTGAATGTAAAATAGGTAACCGAATGCGTGCACTTACAGGGTCATTGAATATACAAATTTTACTTGGATACTTCTAATTGACGTACTTCACGATTTTATAAGAAAAGAGCTAGAGAAAATTCACAGCTGTGAAACGTAGAAGCAAGGGTATTACAAGAGTGGTGCCTGTGTAACTTGCAAGAACAATTCTGCGTGCCTGTGATTCTAATTATTCTATAAGCAGAATTTTTATCATTCCAAATAAAATTTGATTTATATTCTAAATCAATTGTTATCTTGTTTCTTGTCTGTATTAATGGTAGCCCAAGGTTGAAGTTGTGCAGTAGCTCCTAATAAAAATATTACACCACCCAGAAAATAAGCGAAAGATGCCATATAGAATACGTAGTTCCATTGAATCGTGTCTCCTTCCTTATATGTAAAAATTTTTAAACAATTTAATTATAAGTTATAGATATATATATATAAACAGATTTTTAAGAAGTTATCACTTACATTTTTTTCTAATATAATACCAGCAATATAAGGTGCGAGTATAGCCGAGATACTACATAAACCATTAGTCAACCCGAAAAGGACACCTAAAACAATTTAAATAACGTAAATTAGAAAAATGTCATTTGTTACTCGAAAAGCTTGCTGTAATTTCCTGCAAAACTTCGATTCTAAGTCAGTAACAGTAATTATTCTGGTATTCTGTATTAAAATTTCGGTATTCTGTGTTTATAATTAGGAAAAGTAATGACTTACCTGCAAATTCTGGAGCTAAATCAAACACTACCACAATGTCTCCTGAATTAGTGAAGCCGTGACACGCCATTCCAATCATTAAACAAACGATTATTTTTGTATTCTCGAGGCCTAGAAATGAAATTACTAAAATGCACGTTGCCGAGCCAAATGTACCTTGAATATAAATAAGTGACATATTTAACCATTGCCAGAAATTTTAGACGTTAATTTTAAACATTAACAAGCTGCGGTTCTTACCAATTGCTTCGAAAAGTTTTCTGTTATTAGTTATGCTTAAGTCTGTACGTGCTCTCACGAAATCCGCAATAAAACAGGAAATAATCATGGTTACAGATTCCGTGAAATGGATTAATGCATGTATTAGTCCAGTCTAAAATACGAGTAAACTGTGTTTATTAATTAATTTACATACAACACGTTGTATGAATAAAAATCTACGTGCCTGTTGGATAGGAAAGTGAAGAATGTTCTGTAAATATGATGGAAATTTAGTCGATATTGTCGTGTAAACAAATTTTCGTCAAAGTTACTATCCAGACTCCTCTTGACCTTAAAATTTTCTTCCAGGGTATATTCAATTTCTATTTAAATTGAAAATATATTTACGATAAATTCATCAAAATAAAATAGAGGAGAAAATGATATTACCGTTTCCCTCGAAGCGATGTTTGTTACGCTTTCGTTAACAAACGTCAATTCTTTTTCAGATATTCTGGGATGTTCTCGTGGTCTGTCATAAACTGTAAACGTAACACATACACAAAGGGCAATCCCACATATTCCTGTTAAATATACAGATTACAGAAGATATCATCGAATTAGAAAAGCATTCGTATTGTTTATATTCACCGAATGTGTAGAAGCTGAAAGGCCATTCTTTATGTTCACAAATATATCCCGTCGTAATTAAACCAACAAACGTTCCGACTTGTACACCGGAATGAGAAATTGATGAAAATATGGACTTTTCGTTTTCTGGACTCCATCTTCCTAATAGTGTGAAAGCTCCGACAAATATAAGTCCCTGCGATAAAAATGTTTTGGATATGATACCATTTAAATGTTCTGCGAAATTACAAGTTTATTGTTACTTGTGCAAATCCAAAGATAGCTTGACATAATGATATAATTGAAACACCGACATCCGCACAAAAGGGTGTCAAAATGATAAATATTGAAGAGAGAAATGAAGAAATTATGAAAATTCTCTTTGGTCCAAGTAAAAACGTAATTGTCCCTCCTAGGAGTTGGGATAATACGAAACCGTAAAAATAACTTCCCAGTATTATTCCTTGAACGCTTTGTGTCCATACATAGGAACCCTAAAAAATTAATGTATTAAGAAGTTTATATACATATTTATCCAAGCTTTAAGGACTTCGAGTTAAAAAGATAATTATGGAGTGATTTATAAACAGTTTTTGTACAATACATTTGCAATTAGTTACTGACATTTGTTAGTAAATTATTCATACATTGTACATTTAAACCTTTACCTCTTTGTAAATATCTGTAGTATTTTGTTGAGACTTTTGTGGACATTCAGTCGAAAGCGTCGTATTATACATGCTGCGTATGGCTGAACGATTAACCATGGCTAAAATAGCGACATTCAGTACCGATTTTTGACCGTTCTTTATTGCATATATCAAAAATATAGAGAATGCCAATACGTAACGAGCGGGAACACAAACTGAAATAAAAACGTTTGTCTGATTTTAACTATCGAAGTTTAAAATGTCAATAAATACAAAGAATATAAAATTTAAAAATTGTTTAACTTTAACAATAGTTACAATGTTTAATAGAATGGTTTTCCTTATAAACCAATCTTCTAATTTTCCATATATCCAATATATTTTTACATGTATTTTCCGGGAAACCTATCTAGCGTGTAAAAACAGAATTAAGTGTATGTATATATACAAATTGCCATAAAAATTAGCGCACCGAGATGGAGCTGTTGTATCGCTGCAAAAATTGGCATGCAGATAAGTCTCAAGCATATATGGAAATGAATACAGTTATAGCGTTATGGTAATTGTGTAATGCCAGCAATGGGTGTTAAATTGCGTCTTTCTTGGCCTATAAAAATGCGCGCGAATGTCTCCTGTCTGCACTTTATCTGTTGCAGAGGGACGCTGTATCACTAGAGATATCTTTGTGTCACCCATAGACAACTAACCGAGTTTGATCATCGGGTTGAGAGAAGCCAAATGACCGTTTCGCCGAATAGTCCGCCATCTAGGCCATTCTGACAACATTTTAAGGAGATGTTGGACCTGTGGACGAGAGAGAGCTCGCACACACGGCGCCCAGGCTCAGAACTCTCTCGGCAGACTACTAGTCTGAAAGGACCGCTAATTTCCGACAAGCACGCTCACAGCCAACCCTTTTGTTGTCTGTCATCCGAACGCAGGTGGCGATACCATGAAAAAAGCCCCCGTGTCTATCCGTACCATTTCCAGCCACCTCGATGAAAAACATTTGGTATCGCGGCTGCCATTACGTCTGCTGGCAATGACACCACCCACTTTCACCTTCATTTGGAGTGGTGTCGCTCTCCCGACGAGATTGGACCGTGACGGGATACAATTGGGTCGTCTACAGCGACGAATCCAGATTCAGTGTAGGCACTGACAACGGCCGTGTTCGTGTCTGGAAGCCCCGTGGTGAACGTCTCAATCCTGCCTACATTTTGCAGCGACGCACCGCCTCATAGAAGATGTGATGATCTGGAGTGCCATCACATACGACAGCCGGTCACCTCTAGTAGTGATCCAAGGAACCATGATAGCCTAGCAGTATTGTATGTTAGTAACATCCTACAACAACTTGCGTTGCCCTAATGGAAGAACAGCCAAGAACCATTTTCTAACAGGACAATGCGCGACTACATTCGGCAAGGGCGTTACAGGACTACCTCCTGCGNATCTTAGAAAAAAAAGGACATTTTGGAACATCGTGGAAGCATCGTTCTCTGGGTGCTCCTAGCAATCGAAAGATTCGTCGGTACGTCCGCGAGAAGCCGCCGAAAGCCGTAATCAACGCCCCGGGGCCCACCGAGTGTTTCACCGGCAGCGTCCATCCACTAGTGACGAAAACCGACTTTTACGAACTTTATTTCGAACTTTATCCGTGCGCTTTGGGGTGCTACCTCGTCTAACAAGTAATTTGTAAGGAAAATTTCTATGTTTAATAAACGGGTTAAAAATGGTAAACCTGTCTCGGTGAGTCATTCCGCGCCCACACGACAGAAAGAACCGCTCGGCTGTCGAAAAACCTCACCCCTAATCGGCTGACCTCGCAGAAATGATTACAGTTATAGCGTTATGGCAATTGTGTAATGCCAGCAATGGGTGTTAAAGTGCGTCTTTTTTGACCTGTAAAAAGCGCGCAAATGCTTACTGTCTGTACTTTATCTGTTGCAGAGGCACGCTGTATCACTAGAGATACCTTCACGTCACCTTTAAACGACTAACCGAGTTTGATCATTGGGTTGAGTGAAGCCGGATGATCGTTTCGCCGAATAGTCCGCCATTTTAAGGAGATGTAGGACCTGTGGACGAGAGAGAGCTCGTACACGACGCCCAGACTCAAGACACTCTCGGCAGACTACTAGCCTGAAAGGACCGCTAATTTCCGATAAGCACGCTCACAACCAACCCTTTTGTTGTCCGTCATCCGGACACAGGTGGCAATATTATGAAAAGTTTCTGTGTCTATCCGTACCATTTCCAGGCACCTCGGTAAGGAAAATTTGGTATTGTGACTGCCATTAAGTCTGCTGGTAATGACACCACCCACTTTCACCTTCATATGGAGTGGTGTCGCTCTCCCGAGGAGATTGGACCGCGACGGAATACAATCTGGTCGTCTACAGCGACGAATCCAGATTTAGTGTAGGTGTTATCGCTAAAGCTCGGAAACTCGTTAATCTGCAGATTAACTAGCGTGATCCGTTAAAGTTGCTAAAATTGTTCTATTTCGCAAATTACCTAGGTAATGTGCAGATTATCTAGGTAATCTGCAAATTACCTACTAGGCACTCGGTAAAGTGAAAATAAGATCTTTGCTGGAACAACAGCAACGTTTCTGTACGCTTAAATTAACATAATGTTATTTATTTAATTTTCGATATCTAAAGAATCGAGTTAATACAATCAAACAATCGACAAATTAGTTGATAGAATCAACTAATAGATAATTTATACATTATAGATAATTTGTACATTATCTAGGTAATTTGAGAAATAGAACAATTTTCACAACTTTAACGGATCACGCTAGGTAATCTGCAGATTAACGAGTTTCGAGCTTTAGCGGTAACATAGACACTGACAACGGCCGTGTTCGTGTCTGGAAGCCCCGTGGTGAACGTCTCAATCCTGCCTACATTTTGCAGCGACGCACCGCCCCATAGAAGATGTGATAATCTGGAGTGCCATCATATACGATAGTCGGTCACCTCTAGTAGTGATCCAAGGAACCATGATAGCCTAGCAGTATTGTATGTTAGTAACATCCTACAACAACTTGCGTTGCCCTAATGGAGGGGCAGCCAAGAGCCATTTTCTAACAGGACAATGCGCGACTACACTCGGCAAGGGCGTTACAGGACTACCTCCTGCGCATTGCCACACTTTTCCGGTTTCTCCGAACACTAATTTGTCACCGATCGAACAAGCCTGAGATTATCTTAGACGCCTAGTTCGACAGCTTAAGAGTTTGGCCGATCTACAGAATTGCTTGCAGCGACCGTGGACCGAGATACCGCAGGAAATCATACGACACCCGTATGCCTCCATGCCCGCTCGTATCACTTCGTATATTCGTACTAGAAATGGCCAAACAGGGTACTAGTGCCTCTTTTCATTTTATTTAATTACAACTTCTTCTTAATGTACTAATTTTTATGCCAATGAGTACAACATTTTATACATGTAATTTCAATAATGCTGGAGTTGTCAGTCGGCTGAGAGCCATGGACTGTGATGGATGCTCTACTATTCCTAGATTGCGCAGTAATTAATTAATTTGGTTATGTCTCAATTAGTTAATGCTTCTGAAAGTGAAGAGCAGACACAAGTCTACTTAGCTTAAGATGGAATATAGTTTATATTCGGAATTTCGAATGTGAGTAAACATAATTAAAACCTCTTAAGATGGGCCAATTAACACGAAATTACTTAGGCTACAATTTTCTGGATTTCTATAAAATAATATACTTCTAAACAGCAGTAAAATATAATTTGTAAAATTTATTATAAAAGACACAACTAAAAGCTTTTATTAGTTCATTTTAATTCTTTAATTAATTAAAAATTCTTACCTTTACGTAACATATTTATATCGCAAGAAGAATATTTTAAATTCTTTAATTTATGTCTGAATATTTTGATATATATTCTTTGCTCCGTGACATTGATTTTCATTCAAAAAAGAAATTCCAGTTAGAATATCTTTATTCTTCTTCCTCTTTTCTTTTCCTGTGATTCAAAATATTGTAATAATTGATTTATATTCTTATATTGACGTCTAGTAAAGTTATAAAATATAAATTTTATAAACATCAGGAGTGAAATAGTAAAGAAGTGTTATCCTGCAATTCAGTAAAAATATTTTAACACATTTATGTAATATATATTAATTTTGATGACTGTAATTATCTTTAAAGTTATTGTCATATTACGTGCGCTACTCACCCAGTGTTCAAAGAACAGAATCGCTTGACCATTAGTGGGCCCTTCGAAAGTATGAAATTCCAGAGAAAATACTTGTGTACTTTCAAAATTACATTCACAATGTTAGTGAGACATCTTAATCACTTCTTACGCAACGTCGTACAACAAGTAAATCTACTGGGTTATCTAATGTTTAAATAAATTTAGATAATATAAAAACTCATAAATCATCTATTTCATAAGGTTTTAGAGATTCGCCTATGTTGTTGTTTGGAATCCGAAACTGTGAACAACACTCTTCACTACACACTCGAATATTTACACTGGAAAAACTCTGCCACTTTCAAATTAAAATACAACTTTCAACGCTTATTTCATACCAGACAAATGTGATTTTTAAAATAAAAATTTTTATATTTAAATTTAGTGCAGTGTCATTTTATTTAATTTTATATGTTTAATATAGTGGAGTCGGTTTTAATATTAATATTATCTTTTAACAGTTGTTTTATTGTTTAAATTAACAGACCATTAAACACAAATTATTCTTATAGTTGTCAATATTTTTTTCACGTTTAGTCTATTGTATCCCTGTAAGGGTTACTAAGAGGACCTTTTCAATCACACTGTACAATGGTTGGGTCAGGCACGAAAAAGATTGACCGGCTAGAGAGGAACAAAGCCCGTTGCCACGTAAATTTGGCAATATTTTATACGAATTCTATCTCATTTTAATGTAACTTATCTGCCATACGTTTTACCGACTTTTACTCTAAAATATCGTGTAAAGGTAATTTCGAATCATCGTGAAATTTTTTAATAACAATTTTAAAATTCCATTTAAAAATTTATTTTTCGTCACCGTCCATTATTATATTATGCATTTATATACGTGTTTTATAATATCAAATAAATTACTTTAAAACCCCAGCTAAAATTACAATTTAAATCATTTCTTATTTTACGTAATTTGTTGTATTTTTTTATATTTTGTTTACGCTTTAAAAGTAATTACTTGAATATTAAATTATATTCCATAAAAATATTTAACATTCATAAATAACTTCGACGTGATTTTGCACATTTTTCTGATACATGAATGTGCATCTACACAGTCATATTATCGTCCTTATTTATGAATGATTATTATGACGCAACATTTCTAACGGTTTGCGTCATAATAATCATTATAATAAAAGTAATTCAATGGTACAATAACGAAGATAAAACTGAAATAAAAGGTCTCGCATTTACGTTTACGAAGAAAAAAATTCTAGACAAATAGGAAAGAGATTTAATCAGATACAAGTTTAATACTCACTTGTATCCAGAAATTCAAAAATTTCTAAGACACGGTGTGTAAATGGATTTTGTAGAATGTAGAGATGAATACTGTAGATGCTAGAATGTAATTCGTAACAAAAAAAATCGCTGGAAAACATATCAAAACTCGCCACTATCGGTTTTGCGGCATTGTCACCGGCAAAACCACAGCACAATGTCTATGCGTAATGGTAAATTTTTGGATATAAAACTGTCTACGACATGTGAAGATCAGCAGCGATGGCCACGAGCATGACAGCGCCTGAACATTCGAAAGAACACTTGTGTGTTATTGCTCTATCACTTCGAATGTAGCCACAACGCTACGAAGACTTACGATCCCATCTACGAAGCGTTCGTGGGTGAACGAAAGTCAATCGACTGTTGCAAATGTCGAAGAGACGACGGTGCAGAAGAAGGCGATGATCTGCATTTGTTTTGTCATCATCACAATGGAACTATTCTAACCGACATCGCTGCTCTACTGCATCGTTCTAACACCAAGATCAAAGAGCTTCGTCCAAAAATTGACAAAGTTCATTACAATGACGACAATGCGCCAGCTCTACGTTCTGGCGCGTTGTCGCGACTGTAATGAACTTTAGAGAAGCTGGCCAGACTGGGCTAAAAGGCTCTACCTTAGTCTCAGTCTTGGCGCCATCCGACTTTCACGTGTGTCGGACCCTGCACAATTATACTGCCAATATACAGCTCGTGGCAATATACTTCAAGCTCGAAACTTTCTTCAAAGGAAATACCACTCATTCTATGCTGATGAGATTGAAAGTTTGCAGCAAAGATGACAATCATTATTGATATTGAAGGTAATTAATTACTTGTGGGTCTGAATTATAATCAATCAAATTTTCCCAAGCTGGCCTTATCTTACATACAGATATAAGATGGTAAGTAAAGGCAAAGCACTTGACCGATTTTTTGATCTTTTGGAAGAGATTTGAACGTTTGAACAAATCGATAACTCACAATAGTTGATGGTCTTGGCTTTTTAACTGATGTATGTGAAAAATTGGGCAATTTAATTCCGGATCTCCGAGGAAAAATAAACATTTAGCTGAAATGATTAACTGTATAAAAGCATTCAGAGCCAAAATACAGTTTTGGATAAATAATATGTCGAAACTTTCTCTTGTACACTGATGAAAAAAGTGACCGGTAAAGATAATTTGGACCTAACACATTTTGATAAACTTTTGGATCAATTTGAAAGTAGATTCCAGCAATTTACCATTATCGAACCCGTGACATTTTTTGTGGATCCTTTTGCTACACGAGTAGACATTACCGAAACAGCTAAATCTATAGCAGAACTTCAAGAAGAAACATCGATAATTGAAAAAGAGCTTTTAGATTTTCAAAATGGCATCGTATTAAAATCTCGCGATACAGATAAAAACTTTTGAAATTTATTCCATTATAAAAAGTATAATCTTTCGAAAAAAGGAGTCTTCAGAATCAAATCCTGTTTTGGTTACAGGTATTTGTGCGAATCTTTATTTTCCACCATAAATACAAAATCATAAATCGGATCTCAACTTACTAAACTTGAAGATTGCTTATGAATGGGATTATCATCTTACACTCCCAACTGTGAGAAATTAGTAAATGAAATGCAATGTCAAAGATCGCACTAATTCAACTTTTATAGGTTGGGAACCCCTGTTTTAAAGTAATAATTTTTAAGCATTTTATGTATAGTGAATACACTATTGTATACGTTAGCTATGCAGTTAAATTCTATTGTGCATTTTCAAAAACTACACGTAAAGTATTCTCATTGAATTTTTACTTTTACACGCAAGATTTACTAATCATTTTAAATTTCGTCTTTAATGGGCGTAACATTAAAATAATTTCTGAGTGTAGAATAACCGACTGATATGCAAATGTGAATTCTTGTCGCGTTGTATTTGCATATGATTAAATATTAAGCAATAAAGTTTGTTTTCCGACTGTTACGTATATACTGTAAAGATATTTCCGAATTATTTAATTTAAGAAAGGTGTATCTGTGCGATTTATAAACGTTATCAACCAGAATTCATTCCCTTGTGGGTGGATAAAAATTTATGAAAATCTGTCGAATAACAAGGCGTGTTGCAACGATCGAGGATATACATATAATTTTTAAGTTTTATTTTAATACAGAGAAAAATAGTTTCTCTACGAAATGTTTTCTTATCGCTATCAAGATAACGTTTCCCTTCGAGGATTTTATTGTCAAACAGAAAATCACAGGTACAGTACGTTGAATGATTAGAATGCAAATTTATAAATTATAAATACTACTTTAAAACTTTTAGAGATGTTAATGCTTTAGTATCTACAACTTTATTGGCTACTAATAGTATCAGACACATTTCTCAATCGCCTCGAAGGTTTTCTTATCGAGAAGATAAGAATGGAATATTTTCGGATGGAACGATAAGATACGTAAATTTCGATAGAATACCTCAATTAACTAATTGCGAAAGGATTTTCTACGAAGAACCTAAATGCCATCCCATTCTTCAGCGAACCACTATAGAAAGAGATTACTTGTGGAGTTACGAAAGATTTTTATACACTACGCAAAAGTGTAACAGCATATTTCAATCTCTTCAAGTTAGAAGTAATCGTTACGAATCGTCGTGGTGCAAGATGGATTCGGAAGGTAATTCTTCGTATAGAAATGGCAGTGGCCAATACGAAGAGGCCAGAGAGTCCACCATGCTTCCACCGTTTCGATTGAAAAAGCTGTCGAGTTACAATTCGCCTTACATCACTACCAATTGCAGTTCTTCTCTGAATACCGATAAGTCTTTCAAGATTTCGTTTGGCTGCTCCATACAAAATTATAATCGGGTAAGTTGACAAGAATTTTATATTTTTCTTATAATTTTAATAATTTTTTTTTTCATTTAGATCAGGGTATTAAATTATACGGACGAGATTCTTCCTTACGAAGAATGTGATCAAATTGCTCCTAATGAAATAAATCAAACCGCGTGGATTCCCGATTTATATGGCTTATATCCAGAACTTATAGCCATTGCTTCTCAGGATTTAAGAATTTTTCAGTACGAAGATAGGCAGTTGATCTTAAAAAAAGTATTTGTAGAAGTAAGTGAAGTGTTTTCAATTGTTTGCGCCGCAATTACTTTAAGTATAAAATAGCCACGAAGCTTCACCCATCAATCGGAAGAATTTATTTAGCTTCGTGGCTAATGCAAAGAGCATCCTCGAAAACGATAAACTTCTATTAAATGCAATATATTTAAAACACAACCCCCAAATAGGGATTAATCTAGTAGTAGATTTGCACATAAGTTAATTCGCAAATCTAATCTCTCAGAGATTACAGATTTGCGAATCAACTTATGAACTTAAGGCCTCACATTTGTATGTATCATTATTTAGTAGAAAGAAGACCCTGTCACTTGTTACAGCTTAGAGTCATAACATGTCTGTCATCCTGATTTGTAGTCGTGCTGACGACTAGAAATAAAGACGTTTTATACATTTTAAAATTAATTACACCATAAGAAACAATTCAAACACTTATGAAAATATAAATTCCAAAAAGAATGCGTAAATAAAATTGCAGGGTGGCAGATCGAATCCAATAGTATCAGTCGACTGGAACGTTTGGGATCCTAAGTTAATTTCGACGGTGCAGAAGGACGGAAAATGTATCGTATGGTCACTAGAGGTACATTTAAATTTACAAAGACTTTTAACCATAAATTTATTTACTTGATGTCGATTTTGTCTTCGAACTTCAGCACGACAGTTTTACAAACGAGATAAAATCTTCGGTAGATTACCAACACGCGGGATCTTCATATTGCAACGCGCGATTTGCAATGGGACAGATGGAAAAATGTTTGATAATGATCGATAGAAAAGACGACGTCAAAATTTTCGATCTTAGATCCAATTACTGTTGCCTGTACAAGAGTCTTTCGGAAAAAGTATTCAGCATGGAATGCGCAACGAGCGGAGATCATCTGATTGCCTTCGGATGCAAGAAGAAGGTAAAATTAAATTACTTTGGCTAAACAGGATAAGAGATTCATAAAAAATTAAAATTTTCAGATAGTAATTTTCGATTTTCGTAATATGAACAAGGCACTTAATATCTATCAAGACTTTTTACCCAACGAAATTGCATCGTGTTTTTGTTGGTCTCCTTGTTATCGAGAGATATACATCGGCAGTAAGTAACTTTTTGTATATATCCTGATTTTATTTAAGTATAAATGTAATTTTTTCAATATTTTAGCTTCTTGCGGAGGAATTATCAATTGGCCAATAGATAAAGATAATCGTGTGGATACGCAGAGATACAACGTTACCGAAAATATAAATCTTTGGAATATACATTGCCCTCTGTTTAAGCCATTCATTATATTAACTACGGGACATAATTTCCAGACGCCTTGCTACAGCACCAGCGTAGATACTTACTTGATAAAATTTTGAATTCCTACAGAGTATACTTTACTCGAGAAAGAATTCTTTTATTTATATAGATTCAATTGTTTTTTTTTATTTAAGACTTTGTCAAAAAACATTTTGTCCTGACAATGACAACGTAATTTTTATAATTTTAAGTAAAGTTTATTTAAATTTGTGACTGAGAAATGAACAAATTTATAAGAAAATCATTGAGTGTATTAATAATAAACTATAAGCAGCAAATATAAATGTGTAAAATATACACTTTTTACCCAGAAAGTGAGTAACTTTGTTATCTCTTGTTTCGAGGTGTTCGAATTTTAATTAATAATTTATAAATTACACGTCGATGTTTAAAATAGTATAATTTATTTTGTGGTTGACTACACCTATAACATTTCCATAAGTAAACGGTGTTTTCGACACTCGTGCCATAAAAATTTTTATGGCCTTGCTTTATGATACGGCTGTTGCGGGTCTATCTCGAATACTTCGAGTCCCTTATCGCTAGGTTGCCCTCGTTACGGGCCTGGCAGATTCTGTGATGGAATGCAAAAAGACATTCTTAGTGCCTGCAGAGCACCCGAAAAACTTCCGGGGTTTTCAATCATAAAAACATTTCATTGAATATTGTACAAATACTTTGAAGATTATTATTAGAAAGTATTTGTGACGTAAACAATTAGACTAGGTTATCTGCGAAATTTGAAATTATTTCAAAAATAAAATATTTCATCACTCGATACATTAAACAATTCAATTGATTTACATTTGCGTAATTTACTAGATGCAGAGACTACTGTTTTTATATTTTTTCTAGACAAAAGTAGCGATTAGTCATTACTTGAGTGTTTCTACATTTCATTACACTATAAAATTTATGACTTGTTAGTTTAAAAATTGTCTAAGGATCACTATAGTTACAACTAAAAAATAACTTTGTTTATAGAAAGTTCGGGGCCGTCTTAACACCATTATAGGCCCCTGGATAAAGCTGCGCACTAGGCCCTTCTTACAAAATCGGCAGCTGATCGGAATATTATTGTTGACTTCTGATCTGTGCATAAATTAGCTTGGTCGTGAGTTAGCGCCTCTACAACGGGCTGGCCACGAAGAGTTTTCCGGATTTTCTTAACGTTTTCGAAGTTGCTACTTACGGAAGTCCTTAGCAGTGCCGTAACTAGGGCGGTGCCCAGGCACAGGACGCAGACCCTGGGGGCGCAGAAATGACCTGAACCAAGTTTTGTGTCATAGTTTTGGGGCGAAGTTACAGAAGCTCGCACCGGGCGCGTAAAAGGCTAGTTACCGCGCTAGGAACCCCCCTAGCGCGTGCTTCTTGCGCCTGCGCGAGGTCCGCCATTATGTTTAAGATGTTCCGTTCCTAACTGAAAAATTTTGAACAATTTTTGAAGCGCACTTCTCTTTTCTAAGAACTCCGGTTACTTGAATCAGAGAAGAGAAAACTGAGTAAAATCCACTCATCATCTATAAATAGTATAAAATTATATTAGCATACAGATTTTATAAGGCAGAATCTTTCATTTTATCTATAAAATTCGAGTAGACAAAAGCAATTCCTTGTTTATACTGACCCTAATTAGAAAATTTCTCTTCACGTAAAAAAATCCCGCGATGGAGATTCCGAAGGGTCTACCTCCAAATCTTTTCATGAAACCAACAATCTGAAAAAAAATCAATTATAAATGAAATTAAGCCAATATACAGTGCAAATCTGAACATTTTTACCTTCAATTTATATTCTCGGGACAAATTCAAAGTGTAGAATTTTCCCAAAGAGATAAAATCATCGTAAATCTAAAAATAAACGATCATTATTATTATTATGTTCTGCTGAGAAAAATGTGTTTCTACTTATGGTTACTAATGGTAACATTATGGACGAATATTTACAATTGATGTGAATGCTGATAATGCCCAAGCCGAATACGAGGTTCCAGTTACCAATATAAATGCGATCGCAACGATGAAGACACGCATCGTTACTACCATCTTCACAAAAATTGCGCCGTAAGAAAAGAAGCAGGATTCGTACATAAAATGGACATAAGTTATGGGAAGAAGGAACTTCCATTTGTCGTTTAAATCTTCAAAAATTTCCCAAACCTCTACCAGTTTCACCATCAGATCTTGTAGATACGTCTCCGTCGCACTGTCTAAAAGTTGCAACAGTATGGATAATTTCGTTAATCTTTTAGCTACGATTACGCAAATCAATACGAAGAACAAAAAGAGAGAGAATGCGTGGGAAACAATTAAAATATATTTGATTTGAAAAGCAATAGAACAGATCAAGGTTACTCTATCGTTGCTTTGTACTTTAGCGATTGTAGAATAAGTAAGAAATGCCACAATAAAGAAAAAACAGATTTGTATAAATAAAACGAATAAAAAATAAAGCAAAACGTATGGTTCGATCTCACGGATGAATTCCTCTTCGCCATCGTAACTGCTTTTTAAATAGTGAAGGGAGATCTTTCTCCTTTTCACGATGCTATATTGCATAGCAAAATACAAAGTCGTTACAAAGATAGTTATTTTGCCGTGGAAGGAGTAATTTTCAAAGATTAGAAATAGTTCGCTGCAGTAAACATTCGAAGCTATTAACATCGTTGAAATCTGTATTACCGCTATCCAGAAAAGAAGCTCGATCAGGTGTGTATAAAGTGCGAAAAATAATGCGGAGCGACCAGTTCTGGGCCTTCTACACGGGCAGGCAGCTATAAAATCCAATCCGAAAACTCTCGTAATAGAAATCAGGGGCTGACACTTCCAAATGAAGCAAGAATTTGTTGGTGTTGTCTGCATCTGTTCGAACGTAGTGAAAACAGTTTTTTATAGATCAGAATTACAAGCAATTTGATACGGTACATTCAATACGGAAAATTCAGATTCACGGATTCAATATACTTGTTTGTAACCATTATGATTTCGTACTTGCAGTACAATCAAATGCTTTAGTTCCTACGGATAAAGGGAAAATGCTTCGCTCGAATTAAAGCAGTTATATCCTTACGTCACTCTCTTAAGTGAAAACATCGATTTATATTCCATTTGAACAAATTAGCCTGTCCAATGTCCTAAATAAATCGCTATACAAATTATCGTAAATTATTGTGTAATGATATTTACTTATCGTAAATCTAGATATATATATAAACGAGAAAGCGGGCGTGCACCGCACGCGGGCGGCACGTCCAGGGGGCGGCAAAGAGCCTTTCTGGCAAGCTCAGCGTAGGTAATCGTAGTTAAACAGGGGGCGGCATAATCGGTATTGCACACGGGCGTTCAAACAGCTAGCGGTGCCCCTGGAGAATGATGTTTGTTTGTACACTCCTAGGCCGTCCGACCAATCGCTAGGATACTCTGCAGTTATCGTAAATCATTGTGTAATAATATTTACGTTTAAATACTTCTAACTTATATAATGTCATACTTCACTTTACTTCAACCTTTGAGAGAGGAGTGCTTATAATGTCGTACATCTCAACCCAATAGTCTATAAATATTGAATTTCTGTAAATTGATTAATTTCTACCTACATTCGATTTACTGATTTACACGTGTGCCATGTATTAGCAAAAAGTTTAGCAAAATAATAAAGGAACTATAATTTTTATACCGTAGTTCGTTCTTCGCCCCCGTCACTCGCCACCCGGCCGCCCCATTGTGGGCCTAGCCAGGCTCGGCCAACCCGGGGCCCGCTAAGCGATATTATATATCTATTAAAACTTCTGTTTCCCGTTACGTAATTAAATAAATGAAAATTTGCACGTGTCATTGTTATAACGCGCGAGTGCGAATACGAACTCTTGGTATAACAATAAAATCTTATTCATTTTGTATTTGTTTTACTTTTTTGAAAGCGCGTTTGCCTAAATTGTGGCCCACGAAACAATTTGGGTTGGCCTGGCCGAACCCATAACGGGCTGGCTAAACGAGGCCCTCTTAATGGCCACGGGGCGGAAACGGTAAAAAAAAATTTCTATAGCCAGTCGCACGAATGATCGGAGCGCCACGTAACGGTATTCTGTCCTTTACGAACAACAGAGATGTTTAAGTATATTTACACTTGAGCATTTTTTAAATTAAAATTAATCGTTAGGTGATCAAAGTTAAAAAAATCGTGTCCAGTTCGTTAATTTTGAAGCTTAGTTCGTGACATCAGTTTTCCCCCCACGTGACAAGTTATCGCGATAAGTTAAAATCAAAGTACACAATTTGAAGTTAATTCGTCCGAAGCGGACGTTAATACACCAGTCTCTGCAGAAAAATGGCAAGGAACGAGAAAATTGGAGTCATAGGAAGGTAATTTAGTTTAATATTTCCTTATATAATTCGACACTTCATTAAATATGTACATTTCATAAGAAACTAATCAGTTTCAAATGAAATGTGCATATTTAATGAAATGCAAATGACACGTGTGAATTCAATAAATTCACACGTGCCATTTGCAGAAATTTTTCCAAATAATTCTTATTTCTTAATCGAATAAACCTAAGAAAGGCAAGCAATATAATAACAATGAAATGATTCATAATACAGTATACATTTAAATAAAAAGTTTATATCATGATATTGATTATATAATATGTGAAAAATTAAAATATATACTTAATTTTAAATCAATAAATAATTTATTTCAATTAATATATCGTAGCAAATATATAAATGCTTTTATAACCTTTTTAAATGGTTTGGGGGTGTGTCTTAAATGATGATAAATATGTGGACATTGGGTGTGTTTGGATCCAGTTAAAGAAATTATAGTTTGTTAAAATAAAAATAGAATCACTTTTCTATAAACTGTGACTAATTATGTTGTTAAAAAATTACACGCTACGCTATACTAGACGTAATAATTATTAACTTAACACGTAACAAACTGATATATATATTTTTTCACTTTCGTAATTGTCTGTACCTTGGGCGTCGAGTGGGTCTTTTATTCGTAGTTGGCCAGGCCCGCAGTGTGGGTGACGAGGGCTAAATTTGGCACGTCCGGATATTCCCGGGGAGTTGCCGGTTCGGATTTGATCTCCGTCTCCCAGAGAGTGGTAAGCCGATGCTTTAACTTGTTAACAAAGAGTTTTCCTGTCTAGAAATATATTAAAACGAAACGTGAAAGAGTATGCTATGCATTAATACTATTAAACGAGCAAATAGCGTTTAAGAGTACTTGCCGGCGAAGTAATCTGTCCGAAAAGCCGGACGATTGTTAAAACTAGCAAATTGCACTCCGGTCGAGTTAAGAACGGTTTTACGGATAAAGTTGGGTGATGTTGTTTGCGTCGGTAGGCTACGGACTATTGTTATATAATATTGAAAGCAAACGAGTTAAGAGTGCACTGCAAATCATCAAAAAAAGATGAGGTGGAAAGATTAGAAAATAATTTAAGAGGAAAATTCATTAATTTGATACAATAATTTAGCATGCAGCTGATTTTCATATTAAAATTTATCCAGTAAAATATAATTTNCGCCACTATCGGTTTTGCGGCATTGTCACCGGCAAAACCACAGCGTAATGTCTATGTGTAATGGTAAATTTTTGGATATAAAACTGTCTACGACATTTGAATATGTTATTTTTACTACTGCAGATCAACACCTTTTCTAACAGGACAATGCGCGACTATATTCGGCAAGAATGTTACAGGACTACCTCCTGCGCATTGCCACACTTTTCCGGTTTCTCCGAACACTAATTTGTCACCGATCGAACAAGCCTGAGATTATCTTAGACGCCTAGTTCGACAGCTTAAGAGTTTGGCCGATCTACAGAATTGCTTGCAGCGACCGTGGACCGAGATACCGCAGGAAATCATACGACACCCGTATGCCTCCATGCCCGCTCGTATCACTTCGTATATTCGTACTAGAAATGGCCAAACAGGGTACTAGTACCTCTTTTCATTTTATTTAATTACAACTTCTTCTTAATGTACTAATTTTTATGCCAATGAGTACAACATTTTATACATGTAATTTCAATAATGCTGGAGTTGTCAGTCGGCTGAGAGCCATGGACTGTGATGGATGCTCTACTATTCCTANTCCAAAATATTTTAAATAATTCTATCAACAATTGCATTATTATTGATTTACTATATAAAAACTAAGAAATTATCAATTTTTGCATGGGTTTAATTTGGAAAGGTACTGTATATATACATAAGCACATGTTATGGACTAAGTGATTAATACAGGCATTATAATGACACACTATTATGAATAATGGCAAACAAATTTACTTGTAATAAATTTTACATTCTTTATCATAATTTATCACATCATCAGATCAATATGAATACTGCTATTGTCAGACAGATGCTAGCCAATCGAACTTGTGTGGTATCATATCCAGGTTGTGTATGCATATTATATTAAATACGTAGGCTGTCTTTTTTTTTTAACCTCCAATGGTCCATAAAACAAGGACAAGTGTAAATAACAAAATGAATTTATTACCAAAAGTTAGGTACATTACAAACATGGTTACTTTTCGACCTAATCACCGTGAAGATTGAGGCATTTGTCATATCTGTGGACAAGCTTTTCCATCCCCTTGTCATAGAACATTACTGCGAATAACTTGAGATGGGCCCTAATGTTTTTTTTAAGATTGTCATTAGTCTCAAACCTCTGCACTGCTAGCCAAGTTTTCAGTTCAGGAAAGAGGTGGAAGGCTTCACACATTAAACAGTTCTAAGCTGGGTGGAAGTCTTAACCAGCTTTAAACACCCAGCGTATAGCCCTGATTTAGCACTGAGTGACTTCCACTTCTTGTCACGAGATAATTAAATTATTTTGTAGTATCCTGTATTCTTTGAATCCTTAAAGCCAGTTTAGATAGCATACTTCATAAATATATATTTATATACATATAAGGATTAATTTTTATATTTTTAGGAATGTGTTTTTGAAAGGATTGATTTAAAGAAATCAGTATTTGAAGATTTGGATGAAGTAGCAGATGACAATGTTATCTTAGCCAGTTCAACAAGCTGTTTTCCAGCATCTAAATTCTCTGAACATTTAAAACATCGTTCACAGGTTATAGTGGCTCATCCAGTAAGTTGACAAAAAACAATATTTAATTTATACCTTATTTGTTTTAATTTATGAAATTAAATATATAAATTTATTTAGGTAAACCCACCTTACTATGTTCCATTAGTTGAAGTTGTATCAGCACCTTGGACTAGTCCTTCTACTGTAGCTACCACGAAAAGTATCTTGACTGAAATAGGACAGAAACCTGTAATATTACATAAAGAAATTTTAGGATTTGCATTGAATCGTATTCAATATGCAATATTAGATGAATGCTGGAGATTAGTAGAGGTATGTAATTTCTGAATATAAAACTTCTGTATAATAATCTCAAAACACAAGCCTTGCATAATCATTATTATTTAAACTTTATGTTAATATTAATAATTCATAATGTACTGCAAGTAAGTAATGCAAAACATCATTTATTTACAATTTCATATTTTAGCATTCCACATTATTTTCCAATTAGGAAATTCTTTGTAAAAACAATAAACAAATGGAGTATATGTAATTTCCTATTTAACTGATTAGTTTATTATCAAAGTATAGAGTGTCTGAAAAGTTACTGTGCAATCATAAATTTCTAATGACATTAAAGTTATACATATGGCATTGTATACAAGATCCATAAGTTGTATGTTCTACTTTTCCACTTTACAGTAGATGGCGTGCTCACAGATATTCTGATTTTTGGACTATAGTTCAATAACCAGAAAAACTGTGATTTCTTTGGAAGATTTTTTCAAAGATTTCTCTACCAATTGCATAATCACCCGTGAAATCTGGCCTACTAGATCTCTGGACCTCACTCCCCCAGATTTTGGGGCCTCCGGGAAACATTTCCAGAATTTATTATAGGAGAAACTGCAATATCAATATAATACTTAGTAATCTTCTCTTTCAAATAACATTTCTTATTACATAAGTACATGAATGAAGTACTTGCTTTTCATTCCATTAAATATCCATTACTTCATCTAATGCTAGTAAAAAGATATGGATATACACCATGCTAAGGAAAAGGTCTATAACTATAATCTTTTCAATATATAAAAATACATTATTCGTGCCAATAATTGCAGTTTTATTTATTTAATGGACTATAATCTTATAAATTTGTAGATAAATTTGTACTTACCATATTAACAAATATTTATTATGCAAAAACTAACCTAAAATTTTATATTCGTATGAAGCAAAAATAATTTAATAGAATTTAATGTTTCTAAAAGGTATATGCTAGGTACATTAATTTGTAGATATAATGTTCTTATTAAACATGTCTCAGGTTTATAAAGGCATAATACTGCATAAAAATATCCATATCTACATATTTATAGAAAACAAATGTTAATCCAGGAGAAAATTTAAGAAGCAATTATTAAAAGAAGGTAAATCTGGGGTGTTAAACCCCAACAGGCAGATTTACATGGGACATAGTGCCCAGAAAGGGTACTGAGAACAAGATAGTTACTTTTCTGTATAAAATTAGTCAATCTTTGTCGATAACAAGCAATTTTATATTACTACAGATACATTTATATCAGTTTTTTACAAAAATATAAACATCTAATAACCTAATTTTTAATTAAGGCCAAATGATCTGACAAATTATATCAGCTATAATATGGTTACTATTTAATAATTAAATCTTAAGTAATTTTGTCTAGAAGCAGGCATTAGATGCCATCTCTTGATAAATTAAATTAATTGGGCTGCAATTTGAAAAAATTGTAGATCTATAAATTATAAATGTCCACTGTCGTCCGTCCATCTGTTTGTCTTTCCTTAACCTCGAGAACAGAGTTAGATAGATTAAATCAAGACAAGATATGAAAACCTTAGGGGCAGGCAGCACCAATAACTATATATGATCCTCTGTTGCAAACTGGAAATCACATTATTTCAATTCAAAACTTTTCCCTTTTTTCACAATATTACACTATCTGGCCAAAAGTATCTGGACACCCAGTGGTATGGACTTGGAGAGTCCTGAGGCATATATTAATATGATGTTGGTCCTCCTTTTACATCAATGACAGCCTGCACATGTCTGGGGAGACTTTCCACTAGTTTTTGATAGGTGGCCATCGGAATTGACTTTCAGGCGTCCATCACAGCTGAAGTGAGTGCTGGCAGTGAGGATGGTCAGTGTGGCTGGCTACGTAATCTGCATCCTAATTTGTACCAAAGGTGTTCTATGGGATTTAGATCGGGGATCTGAGAAGGCCAGTCCAGTTTTTGAACACCCATTTCGTCAAACCATGCCTGCACAAGTCTTGATGTGTGAATGGAGCAGTTATCCTGCTGGAAGAGAAATGGGCCTTCCCCAAAATATTGCCATAGAGTTGGGAGAGCAGCATTGTCCAGAATGTCCACGTACATGTTAAAGTTCATGTTTTCAACCTCAGGAACTAAGGGACCCAGGCCAAACCATGAAAAACACCCCCACAACACGATGCTGCCACCACCAAACTTTACAGTCGATACAATGCAGTCATATAAGAAGTGCTCGCTGGAAATCCACCAAACCCAGATGCCTCCATTGGACTGCCAGATTGTAAAGCGAGATTCATTACTCCAAAGAACACTTTTCCACATGTTTTCAGTCCAATGACGGTGAGCTTTGCACCATTGCAATCAACGCTTCACATTCTGGAGAGTGATGTTCGGCTTGTGAGTGGCTGCACAACCATGGAATCCCAGGTTTTTTAACTCTTGATGAACAGTCCTGGTGCTAACACTAATACCTGATGATCTTTGGAACTCCTGAGTGATTTCAATCAACGAGGGTGTGTGATTTTGTTTCACTACCCTTTTCAGAGTTCTACAGCTGCATTAACTAATTTTGTTCGGCCTGTCACGTCATTTTTTTCCACTTTCACTGCCTTGACGTTTTCACTTCACAATTACATCACCCATAGTGGATTTTGGTTTCTGTAGAATGTCTGAAATTTCACGAAATGATTTTCCACAAAGGTGGCATCCCACTATAATGCCATGATCAAAGTCACTAATCTCCTTTGACTTACTCATTGTCTCACAAACACATAAATATGACCTGACAAACCACTACCAACTCTTTTATACCTTTTGGTTACACATCAGAGACCATCACCTACCAGATCCACTTCTTTAGGAGGGTGTCCGGATACTTTTGGACAGATAGTGTATAAAATATTGTGAAAAATGTGTGTGCGCATTTAAGATAAAACTACAGGGTGGAAAAGAAAGTCACTTAACACCCCTTCTACAGAATATAGAATGCACCTAAAGTTAATTTGCTTATATCAGGAGCACATTAGACCCAGGAGGAAATAGATTGATGTGTGTTACATGCACGGCCACCAACTTGAGTGCAATTCTGAAACTGTAAATGGAAAAGATGTCACGTAACACATCATTAGTGTCAGAATTTCACAAGGAATTGATTGCTGAAAGATTTTATTGACCTACCTTGAATTGTTAGAGTTATGCATGTTACATGAAATTCTCAATGTACATTCTTGGGTATGTTCTATATTCTGTAGCAGGGGTGTTAAGTGACTTTCTTTCCCACCCTACATTTTATTACACATTAACTTTGTTTAGTAGATTACTAATCTAAATATAAAATTTGTAATGTAATAAATTAATAATTTAATTGAAAAATATATAAATATAACTTATATGTATTTGTATATAATTTATTTTATAATCAGATTCATATGCAATTTGCATAATTCAATATTCAATTTCCATTAAAGTATACTGATTGTGACAACGATGACAACAATACAGAATAAGTTTAACTTAACTATTTTGATACTTATTACATATTTAAATTTATAATTTTTTAATAAAATAAGGGCATTAATTGACGTCCAGACAGCTGACACAATTACAGTGAAGATCTTATGGAAAAATGTTCCTTCCCAACTCCGCCTCGTTGAGTTGGTTTCTTGTATATCACGACTCGATGTAGTGAATCAGGTTCGTCGGAAAGTACACCTCCACACTCAAATTGAATATATATATAGTTTATTTACAGTTGTACAAGTTATAAACGTAGCATATGTACAGGAAGATCATGCGTGGTGAATTCACGTGCCAGATTGGCGTCTGGAAACTAATACTCTTGGGAGAGACCTCAGTCAGCTTTCGGAGTCGGCTCAACTGCACGGTCGGTCCGGTCTCAGCACTAACCCGTCCCTGAGAAGATTAACAGAGGAGAACACTCTCTCTTTACGCTCAGCGGGCTTCCCAAGTGCCTGAGACTACCGTGTACCAGTCTCTTGCCCTTCTCTCCTTTCCTCTCGTTCGGCCCTCCGACCAATCACAATCCCTTTTCTTTGCCCGAACAGCTTACACTCGGGTCCGCCGTCACCCGACGAGAGTGAAGCTTACACAAACGTCCGCCACTTGTTTACGTTCGTTCGTTTACAATATGGCAATTGTACTACCGTCTCACCGCAGGTGGGTCCAATTAACAAAGCCGTACCCCCTTTGTCCCCGCTGTGCTAAAAGGTTACTACTTTACAATTACGATACTGGCCTACCACTCTTGGAGACTGGGATTGAATCTGGCTAAGCAGTTCTCCTAGTCTATCTCCAATATGTTGGGCTCTGTCTCTCACCACCCAGTTGTTCTCTTTGTGGATTAAGTCAAACCCACAATGGGTATAATTAAAAAGGCTTTCTTAGTGCCTAAAGTGAAATAAGTTTAAAATAAATTAATTATTAATTGACATAAATTTACTAATTTCTCTAAATTTACAGTTTTTTTTTTATTATTATTACAATCTCTCTCTTGTAAAGATATTAAAGCAATATATATATATTTCAGAATGGTGTTATGTCTGTTGAGGATGTTGATGCAGTAATGTCAGAGGGTTTAGGGATGAGATATGCTTTCCTTGGTCCTTTGGAAACAGCTCATTTAAATGCTAATGGTAATTACATTATTAATGAGTAATTTTTTGTTATTAATTTACTTTTCATATTATAACAACATTAAATCATATAGGATTTTTGGATTATTGCGATCGCTATGCAGAAGGGATATTTAATGTATCCGAAACATTTGGGCCCAATCCAAGAATGGAAGGTAGATTAGCAGAAAAGGTACATGAAGATCTGTGTAAGATGACTTCCTTGGATAAATTACCTGAGAAAAGAGCTTGGAGAGATGAAAATCTAGCAGTCCTCTCTAAACTTAAGCAGAAAGGAGTGGAAAGTGTTTCTCTCAAATAAAAATAAAAAAAAATCTGCTACTTTGAAAATTCAAACATGCAAATCATCAACCAGAAAGTGGTAGATTTTTGTACCAAATAGTCAAAATTTTATTCAAGATATGACAATTTGATTGTGAATTTTTGTTAAAACTAAAATATTTTTAAATTGTTATATATGAAACTGAGTTGTTAAATAGAGATTACATAAATTTTTATTAAAAATAAATTAAATAATTTTGCAATTAAGAGCCTAATGTTAGTGTTAATTTTTTTTAAACTCTTGCATACTGTTTTAGTAATAAATTAATTTCTTTGATTCCAAATATATTTAGATATAATTATAATTAGATATTATATACAGTGTAATATTAGTACTGAATGTTGTGTACGTCACTGAATTATTATAAAATGTTATTGCTCTTCACACTGTGAGCTCTAACAGACCTTTATAATCATAACCATTGTGGGTTCAGCTAGCCCACAATGGGCAGTTAGATAGTAAGGGATGGGTCCAACATATCTGGATTGAACCACTGAAGAAAAATTCCTGGAGAGTCCCTTGCTTGTATTTGATCCTGGATCCCAAAAGTGGTAGGATGAAGCCTTCATCATCCAACAATCCCTCAAATTGAGTTGTAAACACTAAACACTACATTACTCAAAATATCTACAAGTACCTGGGCTCAAAAATTTCTAGTGTTAAACAGTAATTGGAAGTAATTTATTTGAAATGTAAGTGAATTTAGAATCAAAATATCATACATTTAATGATTAAACTGAACTGTTACTTCTAAACATTGTCATTCTTAAATATTTGTCAAAAATGAAGTGAAATATTAAATAATAGTTCTTTAAAAGCTGATCTGCTTTACTATTAACAAATATACATTAAATAGTCTGGTAAGCCAGATGTTTATGAAATAAGAGGAATGATACAATGCAGGAAAATTCAGGCTTGCCAGAATACAGAGGCAGTTAAGACATTGGTGTACCACTCTGAGGACCTGGAATTAAATCTGGACAGATAGAAAAACTCCAGGAACATTCATTTCAGGGGGCTCTGTTTAGGATATATTTAGTCCCATCTGGGTATTCCCTCACCACCCATTTGCCTCCTAAGAGGACTTTATCAGGCTTACTGTGGGCTTGGCCAAACTCACAGTAAGCATGATAAAGGTCCTCTTGTGCTCACAGGGAGGAAAGATTAAAAACATATATATAGAAAAGTTCAAAAAACACACTTCAAGTTTTCATAAATCAATTTTTTTAAATCTGTATTATTGGCGTGGCAAATAAATTTTATTCTTTTAAAGTTACAAATTACACTAAATTTGAAAAATAGTATTGTTAACTTTCAAAGACAATTATATATTTCTCTCACTCATCTTTATTTGTATATAATTTTAATAACTCATTCATGGCAACTTCCCAGAAACGTTTTAAACCCCATGCCAGGGGATTTAGTGGGTGTCTGTGGCACAGTACAACCCCTTGTGAGAGTTTTTCCCAAATAAAGGCAAGTACTTCAGGTGGTTAAATAGGAAATAGTAAAATATTTTGTAAGACACATTATGGGCACCTTCCTGCAAAGATTTCTGGACCCGCCGTTGGTTATTTGTGCTTGTAATTGCTGAAAATCACAGGAATTATGGAGTTTCCATAAGATGAAAGAAGAAATTTCAGGTTAGAATAGAAGTTTTAACCACGCAAACTTCAGAGCAGTCGATGAGGTTTGATCTAATTTTGGTATATATTGCCTAGAATAAGAAATCACTAGTATTTATGGCGAGATGTTTAGTTAGTTGAGGCCTTGAACAGAAGACACTGAAGGAGTGAAGTGTTATAAAGTGTGGAATGTTGAGCTTATTTCACTCCCAGGAATATTAATATTTGTGAACTGTTAATTTGTGCTTTTGTATACAATGTAATGTTAAAAATATACTTATTATTTTTATAGATGATTATAAAATTCGAGAGGAACTTAAAACATTTAGAGGGCATACTTATATAGAAAAGGAATACAGTATACTATACTGTATTCCTTTTCTATATACTACTCATATGACAGTACTTACTTCACTACACTACTCATATGACAGTACTTATACACTTAGGCTGCTACTGTGTATCCTAAAAAGTGACGATTGAGATGTATCCCCGGATTTGCCAAAAGTTTAAAAAATAATACAGCAATGAAAATAGTGTTGCTAACTAATAATATCACAATAAAATTATATTGATATATCAGATAATACTTTCACAATAAAATTACTTTGATATATCAGATTTATCCCTATGTTTATAATCAGAGAATGAAAAAAGAGTTAGAGTTTCAGGAAAAATGAAAGATATATATTGCTTTATTGTTTTTATTTACACAATACGAATGTCCAATGTCAAGACAAAAAGTAATAGTAAGATATATTGCTTTATTGTTTATTTTACAATACGAAATGTCCAATGTCTAGACAAAAGATAATTGTAAAAATAATGTGTGTGTGTTTACATATAAACATGAGTATCAATTCCATGTATGAACAGGAATCCTTTCACACGTGTGTGTGTTTGTATTTGTATACACACGTGTAACAATAGAATGAAGTGTATCCTCAAGGTCACAGACTTTCGGTTCAATGAACATACACATTATGTATATACTGTATTTTAATTCTGATGTCCTTTTACCATATCCATCGCGAGTTTGTCGCGATCACAATGCAGGCCAATGAGTAGCTATAACACCCCCGTATTCGATCTTAACAAGTAAATACTTAATTAACCTTAAAATATATTAATAATTATAAATTTCGGCCCGAGTTATTTCCGATTTTAATACTAGTTATATCACGTATTTTTTATTATCATCATCATCAAAATACTACTATTATAATTAAAACTCCGTTAAAATAACGCAAATACGTGTTTGTGTAAATATATATAAAAGAAAATTATAGAAAAGATTTTTTTAAAAAACTCGAAAACATGAAAATTAGGAGTAAAAACAAGTAAATGAATCAGAAGTAGGCTACAGTACAGTAGTAGTAAATAAGGAAATGCGTAAAGATGATACGTAAATGATTTCTATTCATTATAAATGAAATTAATACCTCTTGCTTTAGAACATTACGAAATTTCTACCTACATCAATGCAGACCTTGAAAAATATCAACGCCATTAAAATATTTTTACTCCGACCAAAAAAAAAAAAGATACTAGAAAAACCAGAATTAGTGAAGTGTATAGTCTACATTTATAAACAACGAGGCCAAGATCATCGTAGCTTTAATGGATATTGAATAAAATTAATTATTCCTACTTGGAGGTTTTATATATATAAAGAGTTTTAAATGGAAATAAACAGTAGCATCGTATTTTCACCGATGGATCTTACAGATCCGTTATTGATCTGTGGCTGACCTTGTTAAATGTAGGAGGAGGTGCAGGGTACGTTGTCCCAGGCCTTTTAGGGCCTCCCGATGGATTAAAATCTTGTTAGTATTTATAAATTTAACAACACTGGTGTGAGATCCGGAATTTATTAACTAAAATTTTAATTAATTCACTTTCGTTTATGTAACGAATTAGAAGAAAAAATTCGATCTTAGCCGGGAATGTATAAACCTTCCTGTCATAACTATCAACGTCTATTGTCCTCGCATAACTTGTAGCTCGTCTTGCACAAAAGTTTAGAGTTAGCATCCAAAATTCGTCACTTGTTTAGGTCCCTGGACCACCTATAACCTTTAGCTCATAGACCATTCGATCACGTGATGGAAATTGCCCGCAAAAAGCTATAAAAGACAGTTCTTACCCCCTCGGAGGAGTCTCTTAACGAAAGCCGGACCGACGACATCGCGCCGATTCTCCGAACCCGCCGACATTCCGATCTACGATCATCGCCAAAGTCGCGAACTTTTTATATTTGTGATCATTTTGGATTAAAACCACCTTTTATTGAACAATTAAGTGTCTAGGAACCATACAAAGAGGTATGAAAAAGTGTGTAAACACTCTCTCGAGCTGTTAGGCGGTTTAGAAAGAGATTTGTGTAGTCTTTTCGTCGATTTTGTTTATTTCAATAAATTCATATTTTTACTTGTTAAAATGGTAGACTCCTTTATTCGTATACGCCCTTCATCTTATCGTCGACCCCGAGAAACTCTACCTCCACTCTCTTGACTCGTCATCCCGACTAGTGACGCAAACTGGGAGACCTCTGACCTCCCCGGCGGTTCGCACCGGTCTTGGATTCGCGCCTCAACAGACTGGCCACGTACAGTTTTTCGTTCTAACCTACGCGTGTCTAACATGCTAAACTACCAAAAATTACAAATCACAACACAACAAAGAAATAAATATTGAATTATTGATGAGCGTAAAGTGTGGTTATCAATACTGTTTTCTCACACTTGGCCACTTCTGCATATTTATAAACTTAGTTTCGCGTAGAAAAGTTCTCCTATGGGAAAAAGAGCAACTTTCTGGAGGCTCCAAACTAATATTTTTTAAGAAAACATTTCCCCGAAAAAAAATGTCTGAAGTGAACACTGTACAGTACGTGGGCCCGTAAAGTCATAACGCGCCATTCCTTCGCAGATAGTCTTCGTGTTGCACTGGAATATCCCATTAAACTAAAACAATCAAATATTCACTTTAACACTGGGAAATCTTTCAATTTTATTATTAAAATCTAATAAATACTTATCGCATACCTTCTATCTTTTTAAGGCTTTACATTCAATTTAATAAAGGAAATCAACTTCGGTTAATGATACTTCCGAGATTGAGAAACAGAGGCCAAGGTTTCTCTTACTACTGTATGACGTATTTTGTCGGGATTTCAATCCATAAATATTGTTAATAGCATTTTTCCTCCTGTTGACCTCGCTCCTTTCGAACGTCGTTTGCTAGAAATACTTATGTTTCTCCCTCAGTGCACGCAATTTATATTTCTCTCCGAATCTTTTATATAGTACACCGTAAGCAAATAAATTCAAATCTGTATGTCCGCTCATTTTATGTAGCCGAAGAAAATTTCTGCGGTATTTTATACAGTATTTGTAAGTTCACCTTTTCTTTTTTGTAGTTTTAAATTCTTTTTTGTAGTTTTAAATTGTAGTTTAAGTCACGCTTATTCATTTTTAACGGGTTTTATTGTTCAACTGAGCGCACTTTTATTACTTGTAGACATTATCTATTGATGTAAAGTTGACATTCAATTTTTTAAATCTATATTAGTTATTTACGAAGGTAAATAACTAATATAGATTATATTAATATAGATCGAGCCACCTGGACCCTCCCTGATTATGCCAGTGGCGAATTAAGGATTTTTGGGGGCCTTGCACGAAGTTAACCGACAGCAGAAACATGACGTAAAATCGGTCCGGTGGGCCAAAATGTTAATTCGTTTTTAAGGTTGCTTTAAAAGTTCAATTTCAACTTGGTGTGCCACGCCGTGAATAAGCCCACGCTTCGCACACTACGTTTGTCACTCACTCCCACCAATTCAATGATGGAAAAAGTATCCCAGCAGAGAGCTCCTGCAGCATTTGAAACTATAATAGCTTTTACAGAACAGCAATTCTTCTTCACTTCTTAGCATGTTGTGCAGCTGCACATCATACAAAATGCATGACAGGGTAGGGACTCAAAGCAAGCTAATAGGGGCTGTCCATAAATGACGTCCACACTAGAAGAGAGGGAGGGGGTTACAAATCGGCGAGAGTGGAGAGGTTGAACTTCAATGGATCATCGTTTTATCTCACTATATTTTATATATCAAGATTTTCAGGGGAGTCGAGTTTTCCTTAGACCCACATATACAAACACAAACACAAAATGAAGGCATATGGGTCTGTTCATAAATTACGCCCGAATTTTTTTTTTTTTTTGAAATTATTACTAAAGCCGATTTTTCCTTATCACTTGTCCCAGTTTAGATAAGGGGGAAGGAAAAGTTATTTACTTCATTTAATGTTATCAGTCGGTTATTATCATCAGTATAGACGAATCCCAGCACTGGCATAAATAGAGAGGCAGCTCAGATGAGTGGAAGAAGCCTTTGCTTTAGCAACGGGACCCGAGCCCTTATTGGGAGCCTGAGAGCTGGTTTTTTAAATTAAATATCTTTGTTTGTAAAGGCATATCACTCCTGTGTGTGGAGGAGGGAATATAGAAAAATCTCCTCCAAAGAATAAGATTGATGAGTCAGATCCGGTTGGCCGTTGGAACGGATAGATGGATACGATATACTAGTGCAAAAGTAGTATACGATATGAACGAGAAATACAGAGTGGGTTGATAATAACTAGGCATTGAGAATTCGCTACAATATTTGTAATAATAATGCAATCATAATTAAATTTATGTGTACATGTATACCAATCAATGGAATTTTATAATTTCCGCATCGGTGGGGTGGGCAGTGACAGAGAGAGGCTACACGAACGGTGGCAAAAAGAAAAGAAAAAGAAAAAAGCGGACTTCTTGCCTGTTGTGGAATGAGCGCATATTGCTGCACGCTACGAAATGTGAAAATCAGTGGTTGCTGTTCGGAGATGATGGCGTACGGTGAAGAAACGTCAAACCATAACCCGTCCGGAAACAATCAAGAATTATCATTTTAAAGCTAAAATGACCACGTGTTCGGTTGCGGATGGACGGAGAAATGGCCGTCTATCCACATTACGATCTGCGGAAAACGTGTCGTTGGTGGATGGTGCCGATACTTGCATTGAATTTTAAGGAATGCATCCATATTTCCATTTAATAAGGTACATGTCAAACAATTTTTATCGTGTTTACTTTAGAAATATAAAAAATATAGCAATTTCTCAATGCCTAGTTACTTTCCATCCACCCTGTAGAATACTGGTACAATAAAATTATATAGAATATACAAATTTCATAAGCTCTATATATATATATATATGTTTGCTTCTTAAATATCTACATATAGTCTAGTAGTTTCTTATTACAGTTTTTTTTAAATGTATATTATTGAATTGTAATGATTTACTTGTTAGTCATGACAAAAATATATGTATGTGTTTACAATGTAAAATATTTTTTATTAATTAAATTTTTATCGTACATTATATATTTATTAAAATATTATTTACTCACCTTAGAAAAAACTACAGTGAATCTTATCAGCTGTCTAAAGTTCACTTAGTCATTTGATACTTTGCAGCTGGAAGTGGAACTGAATAAAAACAAAATGTCTAATTCCACTGCATTAGGATTGAAACAGTTTGGTTACTTATTTTATTTGGTTACACCTCAAGAATCAACTTTTAATGATTTAGAAAAGGTTCCTAAATATTTAAATCAGGTATGTTTAAATTTAATCACAAATTTTAATAAGAAGTGATTTGTTTTTTTCTTAGATTAAAATGTAACAAACCTTTCAGGTCACACCATGGTTTATCATAACACTTTTAATCGAATTAGCCATTTTAATATATAAAAAGAAAGTTGCAGTCAGCGATTCCATCACTTCAGTATCACAAGGAATATTTCAAGAAACCATACAGTAAGTTTATAAAGAGAAAATGAGTTTATAAAGAGAAAATAATAATTACTGACGTGTCGATCATGATTTTATCTCTAGAATACTACTTAAGTTTGGTGCTGGCATAAGTGTTTACGTTTGGATTTACGAGAACTGGAGATTGGTAGATATTCCTTCGGATTCTGTCTTTGCCTGGGCTTGTTGCCTACTTGCGGTGGACTTTGGTTACTACTGGTTCCACAGAGCCAGTCATGGTATGAGATTTTGTTAAAAATTAACTTAAAAAATTCATATTACTAATACAGTATTATTTTTACTGTCTTTGAATTTCTCCATCAGCATACAAAAAATAATATATTAACTTAAATAAACTATTTATTATTTATAAATGTTATTTCTAAAGTTATAGTAACACTGAAAAATATATATCTACATATTATGCTATTAAATGCTTTTTATATATTTAGTATAAAAATAACATTCTGTACACAATAAACTGAAAAGTCTACAGAAAATATTTATTTTTATAGAATGAGTTACAACACACAAAACACAGTAAAATAAATTACGTAATAAAAATAATGTAAACACTATGACAAAGCTTAAAACTTAATAGATCAGATCCAGTGGTGCAGAGATGGCTGGGTACAGCATTGCATCATGCAGCATTTTTATACTTAAAAATACTTTAAATATTTTCTTATTAAAAAAATGTGGGGTGCAAGAAACTAAACTGTAAAGATGCAACATTATAAGTTTATTCTCATCATTAATTCCATGTACAGTGGATGGCATTCATAAAGCTTGCCTCATTTTCTTATTTTTTATTATCTGGCACTGATCCAATCTATGTATCAAATACATCCCTTGGATGAATATTAAGCAGACTTCAAAACTAGAATTTAAAACACTATATAAATAAATGATTTGTATATTCATTTCTTAAAATATATTAATTTCATTTCATATATTATTTATCTTTCTAATATCTAGAATAGAATAATAATAACAAATGTAAGATAATTTATATCTAGATTAAGATATAATTCATATTCTCTTTTTGATATTAGTGATTAAATTATTATGATAATTTCCTAAGATAATTGTTGTCATACTGCTGAACTTATGAGAAACTTTTTCATACTCTATGACTTACTAAAATAATTAAGAAGAAGTACTTATTTAATTCTTTATTTACAGAAATTCATTTTGCATGGGCAGCCCATCAAGTGCATCACAGTTCTGAAGAATATAATTTATCAACAGCTTTAAGACAGTCTGTCATACAAGATTTTCTTGGTTGGGTAATTAAAATTACTAAATATTGTAAAAAAAACACAATTATAAAAAACAGTAAATTTATTTATTTACAAATACATATGCTGATATATAGTAGAATCTGCTTATCATAATTATGAATACTTAGACTTGTCTAAATTACAATAAATCATAAAATCTGTACCAACTTTAACATCTGCTGGTCAGATGCCTTAAATACCAACCAATTGTTGGCATTTAAGGCATCTGACCAGCAAAAATCAACCACAACAATTATTCATAGATGGTCTGCCTCAGATGTGTTGTCTTGTCCCTCACTATTCGGCTACACTTTGCCTAGATGAACCCGTTATGGGCCTGGAAAAAAGACCACTTAATATTCACAGGGCAGAAAGAGTATAAAAAGAATTGTTAAACTAATACTAAAAAGTAAAAATTTCAATGGAGTTGGAATAAAAGTAAATTTAATAATATTGATTCAAGAATCTCATATTGAAATCTAACTTCTAGAAGTGGAGATGTACTTACAACAACTCATAACTAGCACTTAAAAAGAAATCTTTATTCAAACATCAAAAAGAAGTCAATGTTACCTCAAAGGTGAAATACACCTTTGTAAATTTGCCAAGCCCTCCTTATTAGAGCTTAACACCATAAAAATGATAAACTCCAAATACAATTTTTCATGTGAAGACACATTATAAATGAACCATCTTATCTCAACATACATCAATCCTCATACCTTTATTTAAATTAATGTTATTGTCCCATTTTATTATTGATAGTGTTCTTTAATTGTATATTTAATATTATTATTCTCTTCATTTATTTTAAAAGTTTTAATATTATTGTTATCTATTTTATAATCAGTTTTATTACAATGTTGAAACCATGAGAAACTAATGTCTTCCAATCTAATACTTGGTTAATGTTTTTTCCAATGGTCTCGTTATTTTACTAATAAAACACTTTGACTGATTACAACATTTTAATTGTTTGTTTTCTTTTTCTGTGTCCTCTTTTATAATTATCTTCTAAATATTCTTTTAATCTTGATTATAAAGGCATTTTCTTTGATTGCGATAGATCAATAAGATTTTGTAATTAATTGTTTTTCTAACATTACATTTAATAATAACAATTTAATAATGTAATAATCATTCATTTTTGTTGGCACCATCCCAAAAACACTAGTTATCAAGATTACTGATTAAAGATCAAGAAGGAAATAATAAATTTTAAAACAACTGGAGTTGTTTATAGAATTATATGTACTGTACTTATAGTCTGTCAAATAATTGCATTGAAGATACCATGAGATAATTGGAAAAAAGATTAGTAGTACACAAAGTAATCATTAGATTGAAACACATCAGTTTACCATGGTTCCAACATTGTAATAAAACTAATTGTAGAACAGATTAAAAAGAATATTAAAATTTTGTATAAAGACAATAATAATTTTAAACATAGAATCAAAGAACATTACACCATAATAAAATAAAATAATAACATTAATTTAAATAAAGGTATGGCAACTGATGTATTCAAGAACTGGTGGCTAATGATATATCTAGTTTCAAACATTTGGAAAATATAATTTAATATTCTCTCATTTAAAATTTATTGGCAAAATTAAAATTTAATTTTATGATGAAGCCTTATGAGTTTATTTAGAACTTTAAGAATCTCTCTCTTGAAAGCAAGAAGAGAAAGGTTCATCTGTTCATATATGTTTTACAAGTAGAATGCTGGTTTTATATACTTGATGATCCAAAGTCCTTTAACATAGCAATTTTTTGTAAATTAATAATAAATACATGCATACATAAGCAAAAACAAAGAACCCCAATACTAAATCAAAGGGAAAAACCTAGTTTGCCATTGCATAAAAAATATTTTACATTTTTGGCAAATGTCTGTTATGTCAAAGGACTTCTGGATCACCCTGTATATATATATATATATAAAACAAAATTTTTATTGAATACTTGATATTAATATAGCCTCAATAATTTTAGAAACAACTATGATATATTTTTCTAGACTGTATATCTTCCAATAGCATTTTTCATTCCTCCACCTATTTATGCTGTGCACATTCAGTTCAACTTAATTTATCAATTTTGGATTCATACCGAAGTAAGATTTATTCAAATTGAAATTTAATAGCTATTATCCAAATAATTAGATTTCATCTTATTTATTACAGTTTATCAAAACTCTTGGACCTCTTGAATATATAATAAACACTCCTAGTCATCATAGAGTACATCATGGTATATTTTATTTATTACTAATTTTATTTAATATTACAATTGCAATGACAATAATGAAGTTATACATTGTTGACTAATCAATTTTATGGTACAGGTAGGAATCGATACTGCATTGATAAAAATTACGCAGGAGTTCTCATTATTTGGGATCGAATGTTTGGAACATTTGAAGCAGAATCAGATAAAGTTGTATATGGGCTAACACACCCAATTAATACCTTTAATTCTATAAAAATTCAAGTAAGTAATGCTTTAATTTAAAACCGTATGTTATAGCAATGTAAAGCAATTTTATTTCTACCTGTTCTATTTCATTAATCTAAATTCAATTATTTTATATCATAATTATTGTTTTAAACAATCATTTACTAATTATATTAAATTATTTTTCAATTTAGTTTGACCACTATCTGTATTTATGGGATACTTTTTGGAAAGCCGAAGGTATCAAAAATAAATTATCAGTTCTACTTAAAGGACCTGGATGGGAACCAGGGAAACCTCGACTTGGAAATTTAGAAGATATACCTGATGTAATAAATCATTTTACTAATTTTTTCTACATGTTATAGTTTAAAATTTAACTTTATTCATTTATAGGTATCGTATCCTGTAGAAAAATATTTTCTACAATTAGAAGTTTGGTGTAACGTATATATTATTGCACATTTCGCATTAACAATAATTGGCTATATCATAGTAGCAAATAATCATCAGGTATGTTTAATTTAACTTAAAATACTTTTAATGCAATGTTATTTTGATATAGAATAACTAATATTGTCTTTAAAATAAAGAAATTGTCACGTAGAAATTTATATTCACATAGATGTTTAATATTTAATAATGATTTGAATATAACAATCTAAATACTGAATATTGAAATCGTTATTTCACAATAACAATCAATGAATTATAATTACTGATTATTTTTTATCTTTATTTCAAAGTGCAAAATTATGATAAGTTACATTTATAATTATAAATTGAGTAATTGAAATGCAATAATTTTATGAAAATGCATCAATTTCAATATATGAGGACGAGTTAATAATTATATATAATGCAATTTATAAAATGAATTGCAATAATAATAGTAATCTTACAAGAATGTTATTTTAAATATAGTCTCCCAGCTTTACAAAGCAGTTGGCCCATTGTTGCACCATCTTTTTTAATTTCAGAAAAAAGTACAGGATCTTCCAAAAAGAATGCCACAATTTTAAATTATTTTAATTTTGTTAAATACTATCTGAGAACATTGTAATATGCATTAAGACATTGGAAAGATATCTAATTTTCACATTTCACCATTACAATTACTCAATGCTTGCACTTTGTGTCATGTAACACACATCCAACCAATACTGAAAAATTTTTCCTAAATTTGCTAGAGCATATCCATTGTCACTCCTCCCACAGTAGCCATAATTCTATAGCGCATGCAAATTACTCATGTTGCACAATGAGTAATGATTTCAACCTTGTGAAGCAGAATATAAAATGCCTTCTCTGTTGCAGAGTCACCATTTTTGTTTATGGTGTTCTCTACAGATAGTAAATGACAAGATATTCAAACAGAGATGGAAGATGAGATGTTACTCTATCAATCAGTGCATATTGCATACTTCTCTGATAATCATTAACACAATTACAGTAATTTAAAATGGTAGCATTCATTTTGGAAGACCTTGTTTTTTCACCCGACAGACAAACTATCCCTCACAACTTCAGCTGATGATTCAAGACAAATTAATGGTAATGTTGTACAATCATTTTGAACTTTTCAGTCCAAAACTGAACAATCAATTATGGCAAAACACTGTCTTCATATTATTCTAAAATCCTACATTGGATTTTTATTCCTGATATATTATTAGTTCTCAAAAAACACAGATCATAGCTCACTATTCTTCTTTGGGTACACGGAAAAAGAAGACATAACAACAGGACAATAATTAACCTCAAGTTTTAAATCTATACTGCATTAACTGGATGATAGGATGTAATCATGCTGGCACAGTTAATAGTAGCATCATCTGCAATATAAGATGTACAGTTATGTAATACATACTTTTTGACTTGTCCACATAAGTTAATCTATAAATATTTTTATTATTTGTGATGATTGATAACGTTATCTTAAACAATTATTTAATTTGATAAATGTAAGAGCACCAGATATTGTATATCCAAAATATTGAAAACTTCCTGATGTTAATCATTAAACATAGTATTTAAGAAATAGTTCAATTGCTTATTAAATATATCTTACTCATAAATTACTAAAGAAATATATTGCCATCATATTTATATTTTTGCAAGTTCAGATCCAATGAAACTTAGGATTACTGTCAATCATTTTTTTAAAATTGCTGTTATGAATATATCGTGTGAATCAACGCCAGTCCATGTTCTGAAAGAGGAAAAACTATAGTAAAAATCAATGTCAAGCACTAAAACATTAGTGAAAAATTATTTTAAGAAACTTTTATCAAAATCAAAAGCATTAAAACACTGAAAAGGGACAAGGCATACAAAATCCTGTCCAACAGGGCTGTCGAAAGGAGAGAACCAGAGATTTTTCCCCGGGCTCGGAAAAAATTTCAAGACCCACGGGTAATTCCTACTCACATAAAATATTTTTACTAACAGAAAATAAAATCTTTAAGATTGTTTTTATTAATAAACAAACAGTATTTGTTTATTTGTTCAAAAATGAAAGACAAAAGGATCCTGCTAAGAGGCGAAAGGAGCCAAGTCTACCCCAGGCCCCGTACAAGCTCTCGATGGCCCCGTTGTCCAAAATGCATATGTAAGAATAATAAGAATTCCTTGGGCTCCAAGAAGGTCAATTGTAGTTGGATTTAATGGAAATTAAAGTGTCCTTTCGATCATGTATAAAGATGAAGTTATGAAGTGAATTTGTTTAATGATTAATAATTATTAAATAACTTTGAAAAACACAAAAACATTTTACTTTTTNTTTTACATATTTTTATAATTTAAGATAATTACAGCATATTCATATATTACAAAGTTCTGTATATATGCATAGATGAATCTAATATGTAGAATCATAGTTTTTAATTTTATTTATTTTGTAATTCTAACTATGAATATTTAAGATCTAGGATGAAGCAATCATTTTATTTAAAGAATTGAAAATAGCTGTTTTCACACACAAATTTTGCCTTAAACAGTAAACATTACATAGAGAATATGATGACAACTGCAAAATCTGATGACATCAAAATCATGATTTTAGTCTAAGTTCTGATTTGACAAATTTTAAATTTGCCTAATCAAATTTAGTATAAAAATTGCATTATATATATACAGTACCTTGCCAAATTTTTAGACACATTGACTAAACTCATACTTTTTTACTATTGTTTAAGGAATGAGTATATTTTTATGTTATTCTTATTCTCATTTTTCCAAATAATTCTTATTTCTTAATCGAATAAACCTAAGAAANATTTCATATATTATTTATCTTTCTAATATCTAGAATAGAATAATAATAACAAATGTAAGATAATTTATATCTAGATTAAGATATAATTCATATTCTCTTTTTGATATTAGTGATTAAATTATTATGATAATTTCCTAAGATAATTGTTGTCATACTGCTGAACTTATGAGAAACTTTTTCATACTCTATGACTTACTAAAATAATTAAGAAGAAGTACTTATTTAATTCTTTATTTACAGAAATTCATTTTGCATGGGCAGCCCATCAAGTGCATCACAGTTCTGAAGAATATAATTTATCAACAGCTTTAAGACAGTCTGTCATACAAGATTTTCTTGGTTGGGTAATTAAAATTACTAAATATTGTAAAAAAAACACAATTATAAAAAACAGTAAATTTATTTATTTACAAATACATATGCTGATATATAGTAGAATCTGCTTATCATAATTATGAATACTTAGACTTGTCTAAATTACAATAAATCATAAAATCTGTACCAACTTTAACATCTGCTGGTCAGATGCCTTAAATACCAACCAATTGTTGGCATTTAAGGCATCTGACCAGCAAAAATCAACCACAACAATTATTCATAGATGGTCTGCCTCAGATGTGTTGTCTTGTCCCTCACTATTCGGCTACACTTTGCCTAGATGAACCCGTTATGGGCCTGGAAAAAAGACCACTTAATATTCACAGGGCAGAAAGAGTATAAAAAGAATTGTTAAACTAATACTAAAAAGTAAAAATTTCAATGGAGTTGGAATAAAAGTAAATTTAATAATATTGATTCAAGAATCTCATATTGAAATCTAACTTCTAGAAGTGGAGATGTACTTACAACAACTCATAACTAGCACTTAAAAAGAAATCTTTATTCAAACATCAAAAAGAAGTCAATGTTACCTCAAAGGTGAAATACACCTTTGTAAATTTGCCAAGCCCTCCTTATTAGAGCTTAACACCATAAAAATGATAAACTCCAAATACAATTTTTCATGTGAAGACACATTATAAATGAACCATCTTATCTCAACATACATCAATCCTCATACCTTTATTTAAATTAATGTTATTGTCCCATTTTATTATTGATAGTGTTCTTTAATTGTATATTTAATATTATTATTCTCTTCATTTATTTTAAAAGTTTTAATATTATTGTTATCTATTTTATAATCAGTTTTATTACAATGTTGAAACCATGAGAAACTAATGTCTTCCAATCTAATACTTGGTTAATGTTTTTTCCAATGGTCTCGTTATTTTACTAATAAAACACTTTGACTGATTACAACATTTTAATTGTTTGTTTTCTTTTTCTGTGTCCTCTTTTATAATTATCTTCTAAATATTCTTTTAATCTTGATTATAAAGGCATTTTCTTTGATTGCGATAGATCAATAAGATTTTGTAATTAATTGTTTTTCTAACATTACATTTAATAATAACAATTTAATAATGTAATAATCATTCATTTTTGTTGGCACCATCCCAAAAACACTAGTTATCAAGATTACTGATTAAAGATCAAGAAGGAAATAATAAATTTTAAAACAACTGGAGTTGTTTATAGAATTATATGTACTGTACTTATAGTCTGTCAAATAATTGCATTGAAGATACCATGAGATAATTGGAAAAAAGATTAGTAGTACACAAAGTAATCATTAGATTGAAACACATCAGTTTACCATGGTTCCAACATTGTAATAAAACTAATTGTAGAACAGATTAAAAAGAATATTAAAATTTTGTATAAAGACAATAATAATTTTAAACATAGAATCAAAGAACATTACACCATAATAAAATAAAATAATAACATTAATTTAAATAAAGGTATGGCAACTGATGTATTCAAGAACTGGTGGCTAATGATATATCTAGTTTCAAACATTTGGAAAATATAATTTAATATTCTCTCATTTAAAATTTATTGGCAAAATTAAAATTTAATTTTATGATGAAGCCTTATGAGTTTATTTAGAACTTTAAGAATCTCTCTCTTGAAAGCAAGAAGAGAAAGGTTCATCTGTTCATATATGTTTTACAAGTAGAATGCTGGTTTTATATACTTGATGATCCAAAGTCCTTTAACATAGCAATTTTTTGTAAATTAATAATAAATACATGCATACATAAGCAAAAACAAAGAACCCCAATACTAAATCAAAGGGAAAAACCTAGTTTGCCATTGCATAAAAAATATTTTACATTTTTGGCAAATGTCTGTTATGTCAAAGGACTTCTGGATCACCCTGTATATATATATATATATAAAACAAAATTTTTATTGAATACTTGATATTAATATAGCCTCAATAATTTTAGAAACAACTATGATATATTTTTCTAGACTGTATATCTTCCAATAGCATTTTTCATTCCTCCACCTATTTATGCTGTGCACATTCAGTTCAACTTAATTTATCAATTTTGGATTCATACCGAAGTAAGATTTATTCAAATTGAAATTTAATAGCTATTATCCAAATAATTAGATTTCATCTTATTTATTACAGTTTATCAAAACTCTTGGACCTCTTGAATATATAATAAACACTCCTAGTCATCATAGAGTACATCATGGTATATTTTATTTATTACTAATTTTATTTAATATTACAATTACAATGACAATAATGAAGTTATACATTGTTGACTAATCAATTTTATGATACAGGTAGGAATCGATACTGCATTGATAAAAATTACGCAGGAGTTCTCATTATTTGGGATCGAATGTTTGGAACATTTGAAGCAGAATCAGATAAAGTTGTATATGGGCTAACACACCCAATTAATACCTTTAATTCTATAAAAATTCAAGTAAGTAATGCTTTAATTTAAAACCGTATGTTATAGCAATGTAAAGCAATTTTATTTCTACCTGTTCTATTTCATTAATCTAAATTCAATTATTTTATATCATAATTATTGTTTTAAACAATCATTTACTAATTATATTAAATTATTTTTCAATTTAGTTTGACCACTATCTGTATTTATGGGATACTTTTTGGAAAGCCGAAGGTATCAAAAATAAATTATCAGTTCTACTTAAAGGACCTGGATGGGAACCAGGGAAACCTCGACTTGGAAATTTAGAAGATATACCTGATGTAATAAATCATTTTACTAATTTTTTCTACATGTTATAGTTTAAAATTTAACTTTATTCATTTATAGGTATCGTATCCTGTAGAAAAATATTTTCTACAATTAGAAGTTTGGTGTAACGTATATATTATTGCACATTTCGCATTAACAATAATTGGCTATATCATAGTAGCAAATAATCATCAGGTATGTTTAATTTAACTTAAAATACTTTTAATGCAATGTTATTTTGATATAGAATAACTAATATTGTCTTTAAAATAAAGAAATTGTCACGTAGAAATTTATATTCACATAGATGTTTAATATTTAATAATGATTTGAATATAACAATCTAAATACTGAATATTGAAATCGTTATTTCACAATAACAATCAATGAATTATAATTACTGATTATTTTTTATCTTTATTTCAAAGTGCAAAATTATGATAAGTTACATTTATAATTATAAATTGAGTAATTGAAATGCAATAATTTTATGAAAATGCATCAATTTCAATATATGAGGACGAGTTAATAATTATATATAATGCAATTTATAAAATGAATTGCAATAATAATAGTAATCTTACAAGAATGTTATTTTAAATATAGTCTCCCAGCTTTACAAAGCAGTTGGCCCATTGTTGCACCATCTTTTTTAATTTCAGAAAAAAGTACAGGATCTTCCAAAAAGAATGCCACAATTTTAAATTATTTTAATTTTGTTAAATACTATCTGAGAACATTGTAATATGCATTAAGACATTGGAAAGATATCTAATTTTCACATTTCACCATTACAATTACTCAATGCTTGCACTTTGTGTCATGTAACACACATCCAACCAATACTGAAAAATTTTTCCTAAATTTGCTAGAGCATATCCATTGTCACTCCTCCCACAGTAGCCATAATTCTATAGCGCATGCAAATTACTCATGTTGCACAATGAGTAATGATTTCAACCTTGTGAAGCAGAATATAAAATGCCTTCTCTGTTGCAGAGTCACCATTTTTGTTTATGGTGTTCTCTACAGATAGTAAATGACAAGATATTCAAACAGAGATGGAAGATGAGATGTTACTCTATCAATCAGTGCATATTGCATACTTCTCTGATAATCATTAACACAATTACAGTAATTTAAAATGGTAGCATTCATTTTGGAAGACCTTGTTTTTTCACCCGACAGACAAACTATCCCTCACAACTTCAGCTGATGATTCAAGACAAATTAATGGTAATGTTGTACAATCATTTTGAACTTTTCAGTCCAAAACTGAACAATCAATTATGGCAAAACACTGTCTTCATATTATTCTAAAATCCTACATTGGATTTTTATTCCTGATATATTATTAGTTCTCAAAAAACACAGATCATAGCTCACTATTCTTCTTTGGGTACACGGAAAAAGAAGACATAACAACAGGACAATAATTAACCTCAAGTTTTAAATCTATACTGCATTAACTGGATGATAGGATGTAATCATGCTGGCACAGTTAATAGTAGCATCATCTGCAATATAAGATGTACAGTTATGTAATACATACTTTTTGACTTGTCCACATAAGTTAATCTATAAATATTTTTATTATTTGTGATGATTGATAACGTTATCTTAAACAATTATTTAATTTGATAAATGTAAGAGCACCAGATATTGTATATCCAAAATATTGAAAACTTCCTGATGTTAATCATTAAACATAGTATTTAAGAAATAGTTCAATTGCTTATTAAATATATCTTACTCATAAATTACTAAAGAAATATATTGCCATCATATTTATATTTTTGCAAGTTCAGATCCAATGAAACTTAGGATTACTGTCAATCATTTTTTTAAAATTGCTGTTATGAATATATCGTGTGAATCAACGCCAGTCCATGTTCTGAAAGAGGAAAAACTATAGTAAAAATCAATGTCAAGCACTAAAACATTAGTGAAAAATTATTTTAAGAAACTTTTATCAAAATCAAAAGCATTAAAACACTGAAAAGGGACAAGGCATACAAAATCCTGTCCAACAGGGCTGTCGAAAGGAGAGAACCAGAGATTTTTCCCCGGGCTCGGAAAAAATTTCAAGACCCACGGGTAATTCCTACTCACATAAAATATTTTTACTAACAGAAAATAAAATCTTTAAGATTGTTTTTATTAATAAACAAACAGTATTTGTTTATTTGTTCAAAAATGAAAGACAAAAGGATCCTGCTAAGAGGCGAAAGGAGCCAAGTCTACCCCAGGCCCCGTACAAGCTCTCGATGGCCCCGTTGTCCAAAATGCATATGTAAGAATAATAAGAATTCCTTGGGCTCCAAGAAGGTCAATTGTAGTTGGATTTAATGGAAATTAAAGTGTCCTTTCGATCATGTATAAAGATGAAGTTATGAAGTGAATTTGTTTAATGATTAATAATTATTAAATAACTTTGAAAAACACAAAAACATTTTACTTTTTTAAAATATATAATGCATTTTTAAATAACAACAGGTCAAAATTATATATAGTATATTGAAATATTATAAATATATAAAAATAAATGTAAAAGCAGTATCAACGCTAACTGTCCTTTAAGAAAGCAAGATTATTTTATAGGTTATTTGAATAAATGGAAAGGAATTGTACAGTTTTTTAGAAATAAAGTATATTCCCACAAAAATACCAGTTTTGCTTCTTCAACTTTTAAAAAATTTTACACGAATACATTTAAAATCTCTGAAAACAATTTGCTTATAATTTTAAGATAAGAAATAAATTAATCTACATACAATACAACAGGAGATTAAAATAGATATAATGAAAGTTACTTTTGATTAAATTACATGTATAATAATTAATTTTAAATTTATTTTTCCTAAATAAATAGATATTAAAGTTTTTAAGGACTAATGAAAACATAAAATATATAAAAACATTATATTTATTTGAAATTTACATCTTAAAATATTTAAATTAAAACATTTTTTTCTTTTCAGAATTATAATTATATAACTTTGCTCGCCTATTCATTATATATAATTTTTTCTCTAACTGCATTTGGAACTATTATGGATAAAAAGTGAGTATTGTAAAATATATTAATAATTTCTCATTAGCACTTTATTTAAATATTTGAAAATTCATTTCAGATCATACGCCTCAGTCTTGGAATTGTCCAGATGTCTGGCTTTTTTTTTTCTGGATAGTTTTTTCATTTCGCAAAGTAAATATTCATTAATAAATTCAATGTTATGGTTTCTTTTCCTGTTATCATCTATTCTTTGGGGTATGATATCATTCCAAACTTATTCAACAAAAATACATATTAAAATTAAACAATCTTAAATAGAAACATCATCTTTTTTATATTTATATATTATAAATATAAATTTATTTAATCTGTATAATATTGTGTGTATTTCATTTTATCACCCTTAAGCAGATAAAAATTTGCTGCTCTTTTTTGTAATAGGTTATACAAGATAGAACATTAAATGTATTTTAATTTTATCATATATCAATATAATTTTTTAACATAATGTTTAATGTGTAAATCATTTTGTGATTATGTAATTACAATGTCACCTGTAAAAATATCCTGCCATAGGCACGTTCCTACTATTTTTTTTTTTGGTATAAAAATGCCTCTGTATATATTGTTATATAAATAAATAGTATATTCAATTTATAAGTTATTAGCCTTTCATAATATATTCGATATTTATTGAAAAAAATGTGATGGGCATCATATTGGTGTCTTTGGGATTTTATTTTTTGTTTGCATTCCTTTTCTGTCTTTCAATAAATTCGGACTGTAACGACACAGTTGAGGCAGTCGGATAGGGTTAGAACTTGCAATTCTTGTTTATCCCAAGGAAAGGGCCATCCGCAAATCCAGCACTTGAGATGTAATAAAGATGACGAAGAGTTGAATATATTTATTTATCAACTTAATAATTTAAAAGGAATTAACAGTATTAACAAGTTTGCAAATACCTGTGTATTAACCATATAGTTTCTCTCTACTATTACAATTATCAACTGATGAATATATTAAGGTTAAAGCATTTTTTTCTGTGTCAACTGTTACTGAACAATCCAGCTATTGTTAGTGCAGTGTTTAATGTTGCATTACTGTATTATAAAAGTATATTAATGATGTTCGATTTACTATCAATTTTATTAACTATCTTCTAGTTTGACACCCTTCCAATACTTTCCCTTGTTATGTACAGTACATAACAACCGGGGAAAGTAAAACGACGAGCTTCATATTCTGTTTTAAAATATTTAATACAGTAAATTCTCATAGCAAATTCTCACAGTAAATTCACCATCGATATCTTTCGCTGCCAACTTTCAATCCCGTGAGCATAAATTCAGTGGGGATTTTCTTTGAAAAAGTTCTCGAGAGTGTATTGTCATTGGGTCAATATGGTTCTGCGGGGCTCGAAATATTTGGTAGTAACGGCCGGATGGCCGAGCGGTTAAGGTGGCAGCCTACCGCTCTGGAGGACCCGGGATCAAATCCGGACGGGTCGAGGAATCCCCAGGAATTTTTCGGGGGGTGGTCCGTTCGGATATGTCGGGCTCCGTCCCCCACCACCCGGTCGCACCATTGTGGGTGTGGTCGAACCCATAATGGGCCTGCTAAAAGAGGCCCTCTTAGTGCCCACGGGGCGGAAAGGGTAAAAAAAGAAATATATATATATACTAGCTTTTGCCCGTGGCTTCGCTCGCGTTAAGAAGTATTATTATTAATTAGGTATAGTTTTTGCGGCTTTACTTTTGTTTAGCGTGTGTAAAAAAATTAGGGCCTACAAAACTTCTTTGTACACAATATTCTTAACTAATCTGTCATTAGGCGCTAAAACTATCAAGCTATTGGGTGAACTTACTCGTGAGCAAGCAACATAAAACTCCATCGCTGTATCTTGTGTTCCGTACATTAAATAAGAGAGAGCACGAAACAAACATGCACCGTCACCAACAATAGGGACGACAGTACATTCTTCAACTTCTCCATTAACGTTCAGATTTTCTTTAGCCATTTTAAAAAAGTCTAACCGACAAAACCTATACTTAAACCAAACGAAAACAAAACAAATGCCAAATACAAAGCAGAGTCTATAACCAAAACTACTAAACCGAAACAAAGCAAATGCAATCCAAAATATGCCAAGAAAAGAACAGCCAAAATCGTCAAATATAATCCGCTAGAAATATTTAGGTATAGTATGTACTATTAGATACGGCGGCCACTCATCATCGGGTATATGTAACTCAGTGAAAACA